GAATTGTCCGGGCGGTAGAGTAATCTTGTGTATTCTCTTATGCATTTAAAAGAGCCTCCCTGAGTCTGAGTCCGAAGCCAAATAGTTTCTTCTGGTTACGTGTGTGTGTGGGGTGGGGGGGAGGGGGGGGGTGGGGGTGGAGAGGGTTATTATGATGGTTGAGCCGGGGGGGGGTGGGGGTGGAGAGGGTTATTATGATGGTTGAGCCGGGGGGGGGGGGTGAATGGGTGAGTGTAGATGGATAGGTGAATCACACGCTAAGTGAGCACATCCAATACCCTAACCCTTATCAACTTACTAAAACCGGAAATTGTTTCCATTATGGCAGTTTACTGCCTGAAAGAATCAGACATGGCACCTGCCTCTTCTATATGTGTCTGGAGGGGTCAGAGCTCTGGTGCGGTTTATGACATCATAACACCGGACTCAACATAACAGAGAGCAAGTGTAGCCGGGAGTAGAGAGAGGACGGCTTGTACACACAAGACAGACAGGCACTCGCGTGACCACAGGTAAGGCAGGGTTGGGGAGGTTTCTCTACATTTTATTGCCGAGGAAAATGGAACAGCTTTCAGATCTTCTCTAGTCACATAATATCAAGGTTTATGTTGGTGTACATGTGTACTTAACTACTTGTGCTTCCCTAAGACTTCGTGCTTACTTGTACTTGCCAAACAGTATTTACCCAGCTGTACTTGCCTTGCTCTTCCTACAATCAAAGGCAGATCTGAATCAATCAATCAGTGTTTGTTTGCAGTCTGCCTCCACCACTCAACAATCAGTGTTTGGAGTCTGCCTGTACGTCTGATTTTCCTAAATAGTTCATTCAAATGTTATAATAGAGCAACTTTTAATGAGCGAGAGAGAGAGAGAGAGAGAGAGAGAGAGAGAGAGAGAGAGAGAGAGAGAGAGAGAGAGAGAGAGAGAGAGAGAGAGAGAGAGAGAGAGAGAGAGAGAGAGAGAGCAAAACAAATTCATACCCTGGAAACACAAACCGTAACTGTCTCTATTTTCTGCTTGTTACAACTTGTAATTAAGTTGTTACATCTTGGCTTAACGTGTTTATGACGTATTAGAACGTAGTTACAACTTGCTATATTGGTTGTTATAACTGGTTAGGAGGTGTTAAAACTTGTTCGAACGTTGTACCAACGTCGTAGTTTCGGTGTGTGTTTGGCGGGTATACTCTTGCAAGGAGAAATTGTAACATGTCGGCCTTGTATTAGACCAATTAATTCAGCTCACGGGAATGTGTGATTCATACAGATTACAGAGAATTTCAATGTTATTGGTCTTGAATCACATGAGTAGGGTATGCCAGAACACTGGACATTGTTATTGGTTCTCAGTCTTACGAGACCAATGTTATGGGTTTTGAGTCATACAAGAATAATGCTATTGGTTCTGTATCATACTTGAGCTTTCTACCCTAAGCAACTCTACAAACATCTAGAAACTTACACTATTTCATGTCAAGCATTACACTTTACCGAAATTTTTGGACAGATTAAATTACCATTTAACAAACAGTTAATAACTTCCATGACTTTGGGGCTCTTGGTTATTGTTCATTTAACAATAAAATTCAATATATCTGAGGCAGCATGAAAGGACAAATTTTCAATTTATTCCATCCAAACATCAGGCAAGCAGTGGACGACCTACTTATAATAACACAACATACTTAGTCATACAGACCCACATACTCGACGCAAATTCAAGGTCATGTAGGGCCATAAACCCCCACACAGTCAAGGTTAAACAATGATTACAGAAACCTTGATTACACAAGGCCTTGTGTAATCGAGGTCAAACAAACTAACACAAACTGAAGGTCAAGTAGACCCACACACCGCCCGTAACACGGGTGGCACGTGAACAAGGGGACACAGGTGGAAACTGAGTACTCAAGTGAGCCACAGGGACGTTAGAAAGATCTTTTTTCAATGTCAGAGTAGTTAACAGATAAAATGCATTAGGCAGTGATGTGATGGAGGCTGACTCCATACACAGTTTCAAATGTAGATATGATAGAGCCCAGTAGGCTCAGGAATCTGGACAATAGTTGATTGACGGTTGAGAGGCGGAACCAAAGAGCCAGAGCTCAACCCCCGCAAACACAACTAGGTGAGTACACAGTCAAGCTCATACAGACCCACACAAAGTGGCGGAGAACAACTCAAACTCCTCAGTTTACCTGAGGGACCAACGTCTCACTAGGCCACGACGTGTACAGGAAGCCGTCGGCTTGTCAAGGGTCCCCCCATTTGACCTGATGATTTTATGCAGTTTCTTTCACCCTGATGCTCCTGTTCACCTAGCAGTAAATAGGTACATGGGAGTTAGACAGCTGCTACGGGCTGCTTCCTGGGGATGTGTACTCACCTATTTGTACTCACCTATTTGTGCTTGCGGGGGTTGAGCTTTGGCTTTTTGGTCCCGCCTCTCAACTGTCAATCAACTGGTGTACAGATTCCTGAGCCTACTGGGCTCTATCATATCTACATTTGAAACTGTGTATAGAGTCAGCCTCCACCACATCACTGCCTAATGCATTCCATCCGTTAACTACTCTGACACTGAAAAAGTTCCTTCTAACGTCTCTGTGGCTCATGTGGGTACTCAGTTTCCACCTGTGTCCCCTTGTTCGCGTCCCACCAGTGTTGAATAATTTATCCTTGTTTACCCGGTCGATTTCTCTGAGGATTTTGTAGGTTGTGATCATGTCTCCCCTTACTCTTCTGTCTTCCAGTGTCGTAAGGTGCATTTCCCGCAGCCTTTCCTCGTAACTCATGCCTCTTAGTTCTGGGACTAGTCTAGTGGCATACCTTTGGACTTTTTCCAGCTTCGTCTTGTGCTTGACAAGGTACGGGCTCCATGCTGGGGCCAGATACTCCAGGATTGGTCGTACATATGTAGTGTACAAGATTCTGAATGATTCCTTACATAGGTTCCTGAACGCTGTTCTGATGTTAGCCAGCCTCGCATATGCCGCAGACGTTATTCTTTTTATGTGGGCTTCAGGAGACAGGTTTGGTGTGATATCAACTCCTAGATCTTTCTCTCTGTCCGTTTCATTAAGTACTTCATCTCCTATTCTGTATCCTGTGTCTGGCCTCCTGTTTCCACTGCCTAGTTTCATTACTTTGCATTTACTCGGGTTGAACTTCAACAGCCATTTGTTGGACCATTCACTCAGTCTGTCTAGGTCGTCTTGTAGCCTCCTACTATCGTCCTCAGTTTCAATCCTCCTCATAATTTTTGCATCATCGGCAAACATTGAGAGAAACGATTCTCTACCCTCTGGGAGATCATTTACATATATCAGAAACAGTATAGGTCCAAGGACTGACCCCTGCGGGACTCCACTCGTAACGTCTCGCCAATCTGAGACCTCACCCCCCCTCACACAGTCTCATTGTCTCCTGTTGCTTTGGTACTCCTTTATCCAATGGAGTACCTTCCCTTTCACTCCATCCTGCATCTCCAGCTTTTTCACTAGCCTCTTGTGTGGCACTGTATCAAAGGCTTTCTGACAATCCAAAAATATGCAGTCTGCCCACCCTTCTCTTTCTTGCCTTATTTTTGTCGCCTGGTCGTAGAATTCAAGTAACCCTGTGAGGCAGGACCTGCCATCCCTGAACCCATGTTGATGCTGTGTTACAAAGTTCTTTCGCTCCAGGTGCTCCACTAGCTTTCTTCGCCCAATCTGCTCCATCAGCTTGCATGGTATGCAGGTTAGGGACACTGGCCTGTAATTCAGTGCCTCCTGTCTATCCCCTTTCTTGTATATCAGGACTACGTTAGCTGCTTTCCAAATTTCTGGCAGGCAAATACACACACACACTTCTATGTGTGTGTGTGTATGTGTGTGAAAAAATTAGTAGTTACGGTGCGGGCTGTAGTAACAGTTGAATGATTGTCAGTTGAGAGGCAGGCCGAAAGAGCAGAGCTCAATCCCCGCAAGCACAACTAGGTGAATACAATTAGGTGAATACACAGGGGAACCTCACGGCTGAGTGGACAGCGCTCCGATGTCGTAATCCTAATGGCTCGTGTTCGATTTCCGGCGGAGACGGAAACAAATGGGCAGAGTTTCTTTCACCCTGATGTACCTGTTCACCTAGCAGTAAAGAGATACCTGGGAGTTCGACAGCTGTTACGGGCTGCTTCTTTGAGATGTGTGTTAGAGAGAAATATATGTAGTAGACATAATAGAGGAAAAATATATTGGTCAGAGAGGCGGGGTCCAAGAGTTAATAGTTCGATTCTGCAGGCACAAATAGTAAACACACACACACAATATTAACCATGTGACTGTCAGATCTTCATGATAATTCAACCAATTGCGAGCCACTTAGTTTGTTGAAAGGGAGCAGTAGAGGAACAGAAGTACTTACATCGCATCAGGCTTGGATACCCATGTGCATGGGAAATAGGCTTACAGGTTCCGGAAGATGAGAGGAAATGTCAGCACTGTGGAGAAATGCCCGACAGACCACAGGAACATTATCTAACACAGTACCCATTATGATTTCAACTTAGATTCATTAGAGCAGAAGTTGTTAAACACATATGGCAAAATCTTACTGAAGCGACCATACGAGTCATAAATACTCATACTCCGCCCAAGTAAAACAGAAACAAGCAACACTTAGTGGGCCAGCCAGAGGCTTAGGGCCCGCGCAGGAATATCCCTGAAAAAAAAACATGACTGGTTGACGTCACATTTGACTAGAAATCATTAAATTCTCTCAGCGCTTGTTTCCTTTCAGCAAAAAAATAGTTTGTATGTGGCTACAGAATCAATTATCTCCTATATCACAAATCTATGTAATTTAAAGGTGTAATACACAGAAAATACGAAACATTACATTATAATGCACGTAGTCCATAAACACCAAAGTATTATAAGTCGCAAGTCAGGATAATTCTGGCGGACAACTGGCAACTATATTCGTAATCTCTGGCAACAGCTGGAGCAAATTACAAACGAGTCAGCCACCAGGAGAACAGTTTGTCTAGTGCAGCTGAGGAGTGAGGGTGTTGGACCGCTCTGCTCCTTCATTTATCAGTGAAATTCTTTTCGCTTAAGGACAGGAGAGTTTCTGTAACAGAATCTCACATTAGATCATCTCAAAGGTATTGCTTTTTAACGATGTCACGTGAAATGTGATGTTTACTTGATGTCCAATGTTTAATGGTTTGTTTTGATGTGTATTGAATACTAACATTTGAACATAAACGTCTGTGTATAATAGTGACGTTAGAAGGTGTTTTACCGTTAGGACTATTATTTGTGTGTATGTACGGGATGTTTAGGATTTTAAACCAACGTTTCCCATGTATTTGCGTGCGCACACGCGCCAACTCGTCCTCTCAACGTAAAAAACGCAACCTATATGTTATGTAGCGTAACCTACTGTGACAAGTAACGGCCTACAAATTACTTTTTTTATGCATCGGATTTGATAGGTTAGGTTGCTTGGGTTTGTACGTTTCTAGTTAGGTGGTGTATTTTTGGAGGAGGCAAATCGAGAAAATGGGCTGCTGTGGAGGTAGACCACATATGAACCATGTTGAGTGCATGTATCAACGATATGCTCTTGTTTGTGTTTAATGAGTACTGTTTAATTTGGTCTTGTTTGTTTGTCTCGCACAGAAAAATGTTTTCCTTGATCCTTGATCTGTTATTCCGTCGGGTTTGAATATTTAGGGAAACTTGTGTGTAATATATACACACAAGGTCTGAAGTAGGTAGAATATAATTGTGTTAAGTGTTTACTGATTGCTGGACTTGATTTTTTGAGCTGTAGCTCCTTGCTGATGTCCAGTATTCTGTTATGTCGATTATTTCAGTGAAATAATCGACAGGTATAACGGCAACAGAAGAATGGACATCAGCGAGGCGCTTCACATCAAAAAATAACGGCCAGCAATAGGCAACCAGTTAACACAATTACATTCTACCCACTTCAAGACCCCGAGCCAACACAGAGACAGGATAAAATGACTTAGGAACATAAGCAGCCACGAGAACATAAGCTGCCCATGTTGATGCATTTAATACCCTTTGTACTTTGAAAAAACTGGTTGACACTGGACAAATTAAAAGTTTATTTTTTCCAAAGTGTCAATCGGGAGAACAGAGTGAGAAACAAAGGGTTTAGTGAACAACTTTAGGGTTGTTCCCTTCCAGCCAAACTACCAAGCTGTTGATGTGCATGATTCATGAAGCTTAATTGTCTGTCCTCCATGCACTCAACCGAGGGAGCCGGGTTCATTCATCGGGCAAGGCAGAAATGATTGGGCACGTTTCATTTCACCTGATGCCTCGGTTCGTCAAGAAGTGAATAGCTACCTGGTAGTTTAGCAACTGTTGTGGGTAGTTGTAGGTAGGTTGCATCATGGGTAAAGGTCAGTAGTTGGTCTCGAGGGACGTTGTTGTTGTTTTCTACACTCGGCTTAAAGGAATAAAGTTCCAAGTAGCACGGGCTATGATGAACCCTGTAGTGGACTTACCTGACACAGAAGCGGGGCTGTAACTCGAGCTACAAGGACGGCAATAGGCCTATATTTACAGGCTTACTGTCCCCCACAATAAGCATTATTGGAATCTGACGGGTGAGTAGGAGGGGCCGGGGTGAGGAGCCAGGTATACACGGTCGGCGGCCCGCCCTCTCCACCATTCACAACGTTAATTCCTCCGAATCTAACCTAACCGAGGACTCACGAATAGAAAACGGGTTATCACGTCAATTTTGCAAGTCGCTATGATTTTTAGTAACTCGGTTTTTTGGCCTTATGGGTTTTATTCGTCAAAATACTAGATGGTATTGGAGAGGCCGGGATGTGAGACGCCCAGCTCGTTATGAACTGGACACGCACTCTTCTTGTCTTCACAAAATACACGATTTTGTGTGTTATTAATTCTCTAAAGATGTCTTTAATGAAGGAACACCTGGGCACGCCTTGTGTGGAATGACTCGAATACCGTACTGAATATTCATCATCCTTGGAGGGAGGGAGGTTGGTTGGTTGGTAGGTAATGGAGCCAGTAACCATCCTTCTAACATTATAATACTAATAGCAGCTATTTGGTCCAACATACAAAAATACTGTTGCAGCTGTTATGATCCCAGGCAACCGAAAAACGAGTCTCCCCTTTGAGAATTATTCTATCAAGCCTGACCTGACTAGGAAGTCGGAGATATACAGACATGAAGATTCATATGTAAAAATAATTGGGTAAATTTTACAGAGAGTTTAAAAATATGGGCAGGGAAAAAGAAAATAGATAAATGACTGGTTATGAGATGTGGATAATTTGCTGTGAGGCTCGCTTCGGGAGGGCTCTGACCCCACTTTAGTACCAGACATCGTGAGGGGAAGCTGCGCTCCGTGTGAGCTCCTGTCAGGGAGGAACCCCTAGTGATATACCTTCAAGAGAAAGGAAGTGTGCAGACGTTCCAGCTGTGGAATCGAGCTGGGAACGTGAGGTCTCAAGTCCTGGATGGCAAGGAGAGTTTGTTAAGCCGCCCAGAGACATTATCGTGGGCCGTGGGAGCGCCCTGATCAGACTCCGTCAGAGGGAGAGCGCCCTCGACTAGACAATCTGTGGTAAGCACGATTTTAAGCCAGTTTATAGTGATTACATGTAGTTGGTCGTGTGCCCAGCGACAGTAGCGAATGTTCATTGATAAGTTAGACATGTTTTAGTAAGGCAAAAGGCCTCAAATAAGACGGTGAAGAGGGAGGAACGTCCTGGAGGACGAAGCGACGTCCGTCTCCTCTGAGTGCTGGCAGATGACTGAGGGACCCCAGCTCCTGGTGGGGTAGCTGCCTCGAGGGCCGCCTGGCCGGGCGGAGCATGGACCAGCCCAAACGGGGGAGTCCACTCTCACAGTATGAAGAGATCAGAGATATGTTAGGTGCAAACATATTGTGTGGATTATTTCGTTTATGTGTTTAAGGGGGAACGTTTTTATTGGCGTGTCAATGGGTTGCAGGTTTGTCTTTGGAAGAAGTTGCTGAGAACTTCGAAGCCAGCAGAGAAGGAGTAGTTGAAGAGACTCAAAGGCTGTTGAAGGAGTAGTGTACTCTGAGGAAGAGTAGCCCCACAGTGAAGAGTAGGTCCTCGAGCTGTGAGGAGAAGCAGTGAAGAGGAGTGTCACGTGCTTCTGTAATACCAGTGGCGAAACTCCAGTTCTGTTCGAGGAAACTTCATGGTGTAGCAGCCAGGAGAGCTGTGGAGGATCCTGGTAGATAAACCCGGAAGAACCTGAAGATGTCAAGGTGGTGAACTTCCAGAGGTGGAAGGGAAGTTCTGGTTGATTACTTGTAGGGAGTTGGTAGAGTGTTTGGTTGTCATTAGCGTGCAAGACGCAGTGAAAGGTGAGTGACAGTTTGCCATGTTTGTGCCAAGGAGTATTTATACTGAAGTATAGAGTTATAGTCGTAGGCTGGATTACCTGCAGAGATATACATATGTGTTCTAGGACTAATAGGGTGATCGATTGATCATTGTTGTATATCAAGGAACATTTATACTAATATTTATGTTATTGCAGCCATACACTGGTTTTCCTTGTATGTGTATATATATGTATTCTCTTGCTGATAGTGCAACATTGTGTTATAAGACTTGACCTACTTGGAGGTTGGTAGTATTAGGTGGTGAATCAGGAGATAGGATACCACTGGATAAGCAGATGATAGAGTTCTGATGGTGTTGGAGTGCAACCTGACTGAAATAGTATAGAGTGTAGGATTCATTATTATTATTATATGTGTGTATGTATTGTATATGTGCTTTGTCCAGTAAATGTATTCAAATTTGCTGGTGTTTGCCCTTGTCCTAGTGAGGCTTCCCAGGAAGTAGGAAAGGAGAGAGAGAGAACCAAGAACCACAGCTGTGGACAGGGTAGAATGGAAAACTAATAAGTCAAAGGGGATTGAGGAAATCATATCACATAAGGAGAGAGTGGGGAGTCACAGCGGCTCGAGTGGGTGTGTGCATGTGACAACGAGGCTAAGTATTGGAGCCGCATCCCCTAAACGTGTGACGTTGAGCCCCTCTCAAAGAGCCAGAAGCGCCCAGGGTGATCTCCTGGTAAAGTATAAGCACTCTACCGAGTTTTGGGTTGGGTTGTCCATAAAGAAGGATCAACGACACCACCCAACCCACAACATAATACAGCCAACAATGTTCATGTTTTGTAGTATTAGTCTTGTCGAGGGCACGAATAAAAAGCCCAAAACCAAACTTAAACATTCCTAAGCCTAGTGTAGCATATACATGTACAATATTAGGCCTAAGATAGCGTATCTTAGGTCGATGATTGCTTGGTGAAGTCAGGTTAAATTCCTCGGTTACTTTTACGTTTTTAAGTAAGCCATTTGGGCTAATTCAGTAATTTAAAACGTGTACTTTTGGGTTCAAAGGTCCATTCTTGTACGTTTGAACAAATTGGTGTTGTAACTACTGTCATGACTGGAGGAGGGCTCGGGGGCAGGAGTAGGATCCCACACCTCACCATATTTCCACCGCTCTACGTCATTGCTATACTCTAAGTAAATCCAACCCAACAACTCTTTGAGTTTAGTTTACTTAAAGTTCAGTGCCTCTTGCCTGTCATCCTTTATGTATATTGGGACTACATTTGTTGTCTTCCATATTTCTGGTAGGTCTCCAGTGGCCTACCATACTCTATGGGGAGTGGCAAGCAAAGTACTTCTGCACACTCTTTCTGTAACCATGGCGAGATTCCGTCCGGACCAACAGCCTTTCTCACGTCCAGATCCAACAAATTCCTCTTAACCACATGTATGGTAATTTCGAACCCTTCTAAGGCCGCCTGGTTTACTGCCACCTCTCCTAGCGCAAGGACTTTACTTCATTCTATTGTGAATACCTCGTGGAATCTCTTGAGTTCTTCACACACACCTGTCATTCTCTGTGTATCTGTCCTCACCCGTTCTAAGTTTCATCACCTGTTTTTTCACTGTTGTTTTTCTCCTGATATGACTGTGGAGCAGCTTTGTTTCGGTCTTGGCTTTATTTGCTATATCATTTTCATACTTTTTCTCTGCTTCTCTTCTCACACTGACATACTCATTCCTGGCTCTCTGGTATATCACTGCTTTCTGATGTTCTGTTATTTCGGAAGTTCTTCTACCCCCTTTTGATCACTTCCTATGCTTCCATACATGTCCTATTAAATCATGGATTCTTCTTTTGCTTCTCAATTATTTACTTTTGGGCCGGAATAAACCTGTTTACTGCTTCCTGACACTTCTGGGTGACATAGTTCATCATGTCATGTACGGACTTCATTCTGAATTCTGTGTCCCATGGTATATCCTTTAGGAATGTTCTCATCTCATAATTTCCCTTTGGCACGTCAGCCACTTGCTTTCTAGTTCTTTTTGGAGGGAGATTACTCCTTGCTCTACCAGGTACTCAAAAATCAATACAATGTGATCACTCATTCCTATGGGAAATGTGTGTGTGTTCAGCCTATTCTCTTGATTTGCCACATCGTACACAATACAAAGAGTTAACCTGCCAAGAACGAGCTGCCACAGGACTGGCTGACACAGGACGGAGGTGTTGGAGGAAGTTCGTCATTGTCTGGCCCTGTTACTCGGAAGGCCCAGTGAGTCCCTCCACACGCAGTCACTTACCCAGTCATCTACCTACTTGCGTCTGCCTAATGCTGGTTCCGGAGATCAATGTCCTTACAGCCAACCGGTCTCTAACCAGGCCTCCTAGTTAATGGTTTGGTCAACTAGGATGTTAGGCGCCACTGCAGACAGTCTATATATTGATCAATTCTTTTCTCTTCTTGGGAATGAATAAATGGCCTTTCTTACTTGTAGTGCACAAGGAAGCATTAACTGGTATTGTGGAGGTGATGCTGAGGTAAGTTATCGTCTGGGGAGTGATGCTGAGGTAAGTTATCGTCTGGTGAATGATGCTGAGGAAGGTGGTGGTCTGGGGAGTGATGCTGAGGACGGTGGTGGTCTGGTGAGTGATGCTGAGGACGGTGGTGGTCTGGTGAGTGATGCTGAGGAAGGTGGTGGTCTGGTGAGTGATGCTGAGGACGGGGGTGGTCCGGTGAGTGATGCTGAGGACGGTGGTGGTCTGGTGAGTGATGCTGAGGACGGTGGTGGTGAGTGATGCTGGTGATGCTGAGGACGGGGGTGGTCTGGTGTGATGCTGAGGACGGGGGTGGTCTGGTGAGTGATGCTGAGGACGGTGGTGGTCTGGTGAGTGATGCTGAGGACGGTGGTGGTCTGGTGAGTGAGTGATGCTGAGGAACGGGGGTGGTCTGGTGGTGCTGAGGACGGGGGTGGTCTGGTGAGTGATGCTGAGGACGGTGGTGGTCTGGTGAGTGATGCTGAGGACGGTGGTGGTCTGGTGAGTGATGCTGAGGACGGGGGGTGGTCTGGTGAGTGATGCTGAGGACGGGGGTGGTCTGGTGAGTGATGCTGAGGAAGTCGACCTCCACAGTCGGTGTGTCTGGGGTCGGCCTCCAACACCTGAACTCGTCAGCTCTGGCAGCAAGCAGACCAGCCAGTCCGCTCAATTAATCGGTCGCTTAATTTTACGTCATCTTATTCAACGTCACAAATGCAACCAATTAACATGAAATAACGGCTCATAAAAATATCCGTTTTCTATGCATCGGAGTCGATGGTTTAGATGGGTTGCTTGGATTCGTACGTTTCTGGTAAAGTAAAATTTTAGTTTTTACAATAGCAAATCAAGAAAACGGGCTGAGCAGCCGTAGGGTAAACACAGCCTATCGTCAAAACACGGCGTCGGGTTCACAGTTAAGTCAAATTGTGAATTATTAAAATCTGCATAAGTCAGCATTTGATATAGTATACTTAACGACGTTCTAAACTCGCAATGTACTTATTCACTTTCAATCACTATTGCTCTCTCTAAATCTACTTCACTATACCAAACCTAACCTAAACCCACACAATATAGTATTAATCTATTTCCGAAATAAAATTTATTATACAATTTTCAGTAGGTTAGCTGCTATACAAGTCAAATGCTGACTTTAACTTCGTCATATATCAATATGACTTTCAGCTTGGTCTAGAGCAGGGGTGGGGTGGGCTCTTGGCACGCAAACGACATTTTTCCGGCACGCGAAGCCCAAAGCTCACCATAAAAAAATAATTAAATATATATTCAACTTCGCTGAATTGTATATAAAATGCAATTTTATTAAGTTGAGCGATACCAAATAAAATGCAATAAAGAAACAAACACTGATAACTGTTTAAGTATTAAGAATGAAACAAACATGGCATGTTCACCAACTCGTCCTCCTAATAGCACATCGCATTTGGACGTATACTTTACATAAAGCCAAAAACTGTCATACAAGAAAATGATAGCTGCTCACGAAATTGACGTAATATTCCGTTTTCTGTTCGCGGTTCCTCTGGCAAGTTAGAATAAGACACTTTAGTACAATAGTTTTTTGACGTTAGAAACCCTCGTGAGAACGGGCTGATTTCTCAGCCATGTGTCTCTGCGATACACTGATTCACAAGTTTTGTCCCGTTTTGCTGGGCCACTCGCCAGGCGGCCACACGTCGACTGACTTCTGCACCATTACTGTAGGAAGGTGCATAATTGTAGTAACTTGATTTGCTTATCCACGAAACGAATTTCATAAAACCTGGGAGGTGTATTCAGTGTAGAAATTTGACATCATTTATTAACCCTTAACATAATATGTAAGAAAGGAGTTGCTGTTTTATGTTAAATTAATACTAAAATATAATTATCAAATACCTTGGTTAACCCTACTAAAAAAATTTTTATGGCGGGTCTACTAGAAAATGTTACATTGCCACGTCACCAATATTAAATTCACTCAAGAATAATATTAATAAATAATCTTTAAAACAGCAGTCTGTGGAATACGATGAATATTTAAAATCACTTTCCTGTGATCAACAGAATCATCTATAAACAAATATATTAAATAAACTAACTCCTCTCGAAATAAAAACCGAACCGTTCTGGACGCGTCCGGAGCAGGAAGGGAGGCGGAGAAGCCATTGTACAGAGACAACGCCATCAAGGTTGACTTCCCGTGAGGCGCACGCAGCGTAGTACTACATATTCCGGCACGTGAAATTGTGACGGCATGACACATTAGTAGCAACTTGACTAGTTTATCACGTTACACGCGACGACACCATAACCACATGGTCAACGAGGAGACAGTTTACATGATTCAGATGTGTCTATTGCTTGTTAACCAGGCTGCATTCTACAAAGACAGCTAAGCTTGTCCGTATCCATAATATTAACCATTCTTGAAATCGTAGAATAGCCAGTAGTAACAAATTTATCAGTCAATTAATTTTGATTTGGTAGAACATATAGAAATATTCAAATTTGATCTTTAACAATCCAAGTTTGTAAAGGAGGCTACTAGTGGGATGAAATTGAAAATATACAGTACGCTCTCTAAAGAAATAATTTAATATCAAATTAAATTTAACTTATTTAATAAATAAATAAATGAATAACTAAACTGAATAAAATTTCTAGGTTTTCCCCATATTTCAGGGTAATTACGATAAGATTTTCTGAGCTGCTTAATTTTTATGTATTACTCATAAGGGATTAAGAATTAATCCCAGAATATAATAGTTTTCTTTATTTTATTGTGCTTTAGCCAAGTAAAACGACTGAGTGTGGGTGCTGGAATATATTTGGAAAACTTGAAAAAACTTATGGCTGATTAATCTGATATATATAAGAAAAAAGATTCAGAATTATTGTTTAGTCTTTTGCTGATATTAGCATTTTTTACCTTCAATCGTGTGGCTGTATATGCCAGCGAGAATTGCATTTAAAGGCTAATAAAAAAATAACCGTGCTATCAACAGGGAAGAACGACCATTATTAATTTCGGTAGTAAATTTTACATTCATGCAATCTTACACGACTTAAAATATTCACTCGTGGAATATACTTTGATTGTACCGCACTAGTGTGATATTTGATTATTTGAAAAGTTCTCCCAATACTTAAGGCAGAAAATAATAACACGCTCCCCAAAATTTCGTTTGGTATGCGAGAAAATTTTGCATCAAAGATTTGGAGATTTTGGCGCGCACATTTAAAAAGGCTGCCCGCCCCTGTCTTAGAGGATGGGCTGAGGAAATGAGATGAACATATCAGTCAGCTAACTACTGTTACCTAACCATACAGCTCAAACTTTGGAGTTATAGAACCGTATGTCGTAAAGGTACGCTTTGAATGATCACAAAGCAGATAATTAAAGTTCAATTGAACTTCCAAACTTGAAAGTCGGGACAGACGAAACGAAGTTCAGTGAGATTTTTTAGCTTATTAGATTTAACATTTTGTTCTTATTAATACATTTAGCCTTTAACTACTGTTAATAGATGTAGCCTTTGTGATATCGTTAGTAGATGTAGCATTTACCTGTTGTTAATACATTGTCTTTTCCTGTTGCTAACAGATTAATTTTTACTGTTGGTAACAGATTTAAGCTTTTTACTGTTAATACGAGAATAAATATATTGCTTTTAAGTCTGAAAATATATAATGTAATTATTCTGTCTCATCGCAGAAAAGTACATTGTTCTTATTGGGATTATGAATGTTCATCTTTTGCTCATACTCTCCTGATCTACCCAAGCTTCTAATTGACTTCCCTCGCCTTCATGAAAGTTATTTAATCTGATATTCTTGAATTTAATCAAAGTGTTCACTTACACAATATTCTTTAATGTTCTCTATTCCTTAATTATTCAAATGAACATTCAGTCACAATTTGCGTTGGAATAAATTAGTAACAATATTTGAGTCTTTGAAAGTCATCTTTAATTTAGGTGCGTGGTTTTCCTCCCAACAGAGATGGTGCACAATGGTTACAACAGAATTAACGCTATTAACGGAAACAATGGTAATAATGGCGAGGTAAATCTTGGTGGTGAGGACAGGAGGGCGCAGGCGCCGCACCTGGAGGCCTTGGCGGAGTCAGCGGTGTTGACGCTCATGACGGGGGCCACAAAGAAGAGGTCTTGGCAGGGGAACAAGGCGCACATCACGCACATAGTTCACGCCCACCTCCCTCACATCGTCCGCCAGCGTATGCAGGTGTGTGTTCGCCTCTACACTTGTTTTACTCTTAAGTTTTCTCTTTGCTTCCATATTTATCTCGACTCTTATTTTTCATTTCCGCTTTGTCTTCTATTTCCCGTTTCTGAAATATTCGCTTGTTCTCTCTTCATTATGTTCAATCTTGCGTGTCCTCAACTCTTCATAGCGTTCCCATCCTCTTACTTAATTATTTTCATTTTCTCTTTTTTTACTTTCTTTTTCTTTCTATTTCTTTTACTTTTTATTTTTTCTTTCTTCTACCCAGTTTTAAATTAAAATTTTGGTGGTTAATCAGCAGCAGGAAAATATAATAAAAGCTGTTCATCAGACTTTTATTTAAGCCTGGTCCTTCTCTTTTTTTCAAGTCTGGTCCTTCTCTCTTTTTCAAGCCTGGTCCTTCTCTTTTTTTCAAGCCTGGTCCTTCTCTTTTTTTCAAGCCTGGTCCTTCTCTTTTTTTCAAGCCTGGTCCTTCTCTTTTTTTCAAGTCTGGTCCTTCTCTCTTTTTCAAGCCTGGTCCTTCTCTCTTTTTCAAGCCTGGTCCTTCTCTCTTTTTCAAGCCTGGTCCTTCTCTCTTTTTCAAGCCTGGTCCTTCTCTCTTTTTTCAAGCCTGGTTCTTCTCTCTTTTTTTCAAGCCTGGTTCTTCTCTCTCTTTTTTCAAGCCTGGTCCTTCTCTCTTTTTTCAAGCCTGGTCCTTCTCTCTTTTTTTCAAGCCTGGTCCTTCTCTCTTTTTTTCAAGCCTGGTCCTTCTCTCTTTTTTTCAAGCCTGGTTCTTCTCTCTCTTTTTTCAAGCCTGGTCCTTCTCTTTTTTTTGTTCAAGCCTGGTCCTTCTCTCTTTTTTTTCAAGCCTGGTCCTTCTCTCTTTTTTTTCAAGCCTGGTCCTTCTCTCTTTTTTTCAAGCCTGGTCCTTCTCTCTCTTTTTTTCAAGCCTGGTCCTTCTCTCTTTTTTTCAAGCCTGGTCCTTCTCTCTTTTTTTCAAGCCTGGTCCTTCTCTCTTCTTTTCAAGCCTGGTCCTTCTATCTTTTTTCAAGCCTGGTCCTTCTCTCTTTTTTTCAAGCCTGGTCCTTCTCTCTTTTTTCAAGCCTGGTCCTTCTCTTTTTGCCTTAACAGCTCCTTTCGAAGCCTAGGTTTATCATTTGCTTTATTGTAAGTTTGACTATATTTAATAGCAAGCAAATTTTATGCCGGGTGGTGAGTGAAGTTGGAGTCTCTCCTATGGTCTGCATCTTTGATTTCCTCGTCTGACTGGATTTAACAAAAAATTATGAAACATTTGATGCGTGTCAGGAGAGGAATGAGTAATTGCTGATGGAGTGTTCATTGAGCTGAGGGAAATGGCCAGTGGTGCCACCTTGATGTTTAGATTTCATCCGTTAATAACATATTTCTGATGTTCACGTGAGGACCGGCCTAGACGGGTCGAGGCTTGAGCTGACCCTTCACGGATCTCTACCCTGTCCAAAAGTCGGGATGGGATAATGGACAGGTGTTTCCAAATAGTGGAGCATACTCGAGGTGTGAGCTAACTTTATAATCAGAGGTGCAGCCACAGATGTCGAGCAGGTGCAGAAGCAGCCTGTGAGTCTTCATGGCCATTATATAAAATAATATTTGTCACCACCCCTCACTTTTATCTTCCCTCTCCTTTCTATCCTCTTTCAGCTTTCCTTTCTCTAGTATCCTGTTATTGTAGCGCGAAGGAAGGAAGCGGGACACGTTCGTGGCGCCACGGGTGTTGAAGACAAATTAAGCCGGGGGTTTTCTTTTAGATTTCATATTAAACACAAAAGTATTTTGCATTTAAGAAAAGAGAAATTATCGGAAGCTAATAACTGCTAAAAGTGTCCAGTTATAGAAGAGAGAACATAAGAATGTGAAGAATGTTGATGATGGGGAAACTTTTGGCTAGCATTGCCGCGTCTCAAAATACTGCAGTGGCCTGCTTCTGTAGCGTCTTTTCCGGTAGAGACGTGTAGACATTACTGTAGCGGTTACGTAGAGATGTGTAAATATTACTGTAGAGACTTTTCATTAGAGACATGTAAACAATACTCTACTGTCTTGTCCTGTAGAGACTTCCATATTACTTGAGTGGTCACGTAGAGACTTGTAGATATTACTGTTGTCGTCTGGTAGAGACTTGTAAACATTGCTGTAGTGGTACTCAAGCGTCCTAACATGCACTGCCTGGCCCTGCACCTCCTTGACAACCTTTACAGTAAGAGGTCATCCGTAATCCACCTGTGCCAGTATTATGGTACTTGGTAACTTGGTTGAGCAGCTGCTGTTGCCGGCGTAGCGAAGGTCTGCAAGTGTGACTCGGCTGTCACCATGAAGCAGTGGGTGATGATGGCACTCCAGCGTCAGGTGCCACCATGAAGCAATGGTTTACCATGTCATTGACAACGTTAGCTTTGTAAACTCTCTATTTTGTCAGAATTGCACCAATCAGTAATATCCAGCAAGACATTGCAGCAACGAAAGGTATATATCGTGTCGACCTGTATTGACGGATGGCAGTTTAATTGTTGCAGAAGCTGTACAATGTATATATAATATATATATATATATATATATATATATATATATATATATATATATATATATATATATATATATATATATATATATATATATATAATATATATAATGCACCAAGTTGCAAGGCTGTTCATTTTAATATTGTGTTGCACGAGAAAGTTGCATATATTTTACAATTGCAGTTCTGGACACAAAATGTTGCATAAACCTGCTATGAATATTTGACGACGTGTAAATATTTTTGGTTGAGGAACGTAACTGGTGTTGTGAAAGAGCCTATTATTTTTGTGTTGCAGGAGAAGGAGTCTATTATTTATGTTACAGAAGCAATAACATATTGTCTGTGTTGCAGGGGTCTATTATCTTTGTGTTACAGAAGCATTAGCCTATTATTTCAGTGTTTCAGGAGCCAATTTTCTCTGTTACAGGAGCAGGAGCCTATTAGCTGTGTGTTACTGGAAGGGGAAGGGAATGTTACTGGAGCAGTAGCCTTTTGTGTGTGTTGCAGGAGCCAATTATATCTGTTGCAGGAGCATGAGGGTAATCAGAAAGTGTTGCAGAAGCATGAGGGTAATCAGAAAGTGTTGCAGGAGCGGGTGCTACGTGACTGGCGGGTGTACGACACAGTGAGTCTGAGGCTGCTGGATCTGCTCTTCTCTGCTACGACCACTTCTCTTCGTCTCGTCCACGTCAGGACCTTCTACCGCGACGACCTCATTAGTCTCCTGCCTCGCCTCGCCGGCCTCAGGGAACTGAGCTTTCAGGTGTGTGGGTGTTCGCTTCGTTAGGTGTGTGCTCAGTGTTTTGTGATTATTTCATTCATATGTGTCATTACCATCATGTATGTGCTACTTCATCCATGTTTTGTCGTCTAGATGAGTTCTTATCATCAAGGTGTGTGTGTTATCTTGTTTAGGTGTGTGTCCTCTCATCCGTGTCTGTGCGCGCGCGCGTGTGTACTCGCCTACTTGTGTTTGCGGGGGTTGAGTTTCGGCTCTTTGGTCCCGCCTCTCGACTGTCAAGGTTCCTAACTCTATTGGATTCAATCATATCTACACTTGAAATTGTGTATGGAATCTGCCTCCACCACATCACTGCTTAATGCAATCCATTTGTTAACTATTGACACTAAAACGTTCTTTCTATTGTCTATGGCTCATTTGGTTACTAAATTTCCACCTGCGTTCCCTAGTGTGTGTTTGTGTGTACTCGCCTATTTGTGTCTGCAGGATCGAGCATTGACTCTTGGATCCCGCCTTTCGAGCATCGGTTGTTTACAGCAATGACTCAGGTCCTATTTCCCTATCATACCTAGTTTTAAAATTATGAATAGTATTTGCTTCCACAACCTGTTCCTTAAGTGCATTCCATTTTTCCACTACTCTCACGCTAAAAGAAAATTTCCTAACATCTCTGTGACTCATCTGAGGTTCCAGCTTCCACCCATGTTCCCTCGTTCTGTTACTATTCCGCGTGAACATTTCGTCTATGCCCACTGTCAATCCCCCCTGAGTATTTTATACGTTCCTATCATATCCCCCCCCCTCTCCCTTCTTTTTTTCTAGTGTCGTAAGGCACAGTTCCTTCAGGCGCTCCTTATACCCCATCCCTTGTAACTCTGGGACGAGTCTCGTTGCAAACCTCTGAACCTTTTCCTGTTTCCTTATATGTTTCTTCAGATGGGTACTCCATGATGAGGCGGCATACTCTAAGACTGGCCTCAGGTAGGCAGTGTAGTGCCCCCTAAATGCCTCCTTACTTAGGTTTCTGAATGATGTTCTAACTTTTGGCAGAGTAGAGTACGCTGCTGTCGTTATCCTATTTATATGTGCTTCAGGAGATAGATTAGGTGTTACGTCCACGCCCAGGTCTCTCTCTCGCGTCGTTACAGGTAGGCAGTTCCCCTTCATTGTGTACTGACCTTTTGGTCTCCTATCACGTTATTTTCTGTGACTCTAAAAGTACTCTGCTGTCCTTAAATAACCCATCACAATGTATGTCGGAAGTAGCTTGTAATATTAAATGGAATGTAATTTTTGCCAATGACAATAACTCTTGTATAAAATTTGTGTGAATCCCATCCCATGTTGGAGTTGGAAAACATGACTTTGTAGATCGATTGGCCAATGAGGCTTGCAGGAAAGAAAACATTGATTATGACTTTGGACTATCTAATGCAATTATTAGAACCATACAAATTAAAGAAATTAATTCAGATTTAGAAGAACTAAGAAATCTCCAGAGACCTGAAAGCTGCAGTATTAAAAGTTATGACAAGTTTTGTAATAATAGGTATTTGTATGGTCAGCACAGTAACCGGACCAGGCAATGTGAACCGGACCAGGCACCAGAATATTCAGATTGTAAACTCTGTGATAAACCTTTAGTGCATTCACTATAACACTATATTGTTGAATGTGAAACCGTAAAGGACTTTAGACCTCCTGGCCTCTTGTACCACCAACTGGGTAACTATTTCATTGACTCAGGTGTCCTGGACGACATCCTAACAATTTACCCAAAACTTGCTTGTCCATTTTAAAGAATGAAGAACAATTTATATTTATATTACTTCTAAGCTGCATCACTTACGAACCCATCCCTGCCCTTGTGTGGCAGTGCACAATAGAAAGTGGTTTTCATATATCCATACATTAAAACATTGATTGTAATATGATATATATGTACTTCCGCCTACAGTTTAGACCTATTGTCTTATGTATGACCCTCTGTCCTGTGTGACAGTGAATACCAGCATTATCCTCACTTTAATAAGATTTAATCGAAATCCTCAGATTAGGCAAAATTGTAATTAATTTTCTCAATAAAGATGTTAATAATAAATTAATAGTCCCATTTCCATAACTTTGCGATTGCTCGTGTGTGTTGTATTCAGTTGTATTCACCTAGTTGTACTTGCGGGGGTTGAGCTCTGTTCTTTCGGCCTGCCTCTCAACTGTTTCTACTACTACTACTACTACTATTTTTTTTTTCCATCACACACACACACCCCAGGAAGCAGCCCGTGACAGCTGACTAACTCCCAGGTACCTATTTACTGCTAGGTAACAGGGGGCATAGGGTGAAAGAAACTCTGCTCATTTGTTTCCGCCTCCACTGGGAATCTAACCCGGAACTTCAGGACTACGAATCCGAAGCGCTGTCCTCTCAGCTGTCAGGCCCCTAATTTGCCACTTGACGCTCCAAGGACTTAATTTATCTAGATCAATTTGAAGGGCATGACAATCGTCTTGAGTCTATCTTCCCCAGTATCTTAGCATCATCCGCAAACATGTTTATATAATTCTGTGTTCCTTTTGGTAGATGGTTTATTTAGACGGTGATCATTACTGGTGCAAGAACTGAACCATGTGGTACTCCAATAGTAACACTCCTCCAGTCAGGTATATCGTCTCAGACATATGAGGGCGGTAATCAGTCAGTTAGAAAAAATTTCATCTATGTCGGAAGTATGTCACTCCTCCAGCATGTTCTAGTCTCAAGAACAGCCTCTTTTGTGGGATTCTGTCAAAAGCCTTTTCTTTAAGTTCAGATAGACACAGTCAAACTAACCATCTCTTTCCTGTAGTATCAATGTGGCTCTATCATAAAAACTAAGTAGATTTGTTACTCAGCATCTTATGTTCGAAAATCATACTGTCTGCTGCGTTATTATGTCATAACTCCAGGTGTTCTACCCATTTGGCTTAACTATTGTTTGTATTGTCTTGCCTACCACGCTTGTTAATGACTCGGGCCTATAATTTAGAGGGTCAACTCGGCTATCATTTTTATAGATTGCAAGTTGTGTGTGTGTGTACTCACCTATTTGTGCTTGCGGGGGTTGAGCTTTGGCTCTTTGGTCCCGCCTCTCAACAGTCAATCAACTGGTGTACAGGTTCCTGAGCCTACTGGGCTCTATCATATCTACATTTGAAACTGTGTATGGAGTCAGCCTCCACCACATCATTGCCTAGTGCATTCCATTTACTAACTACTGACACTGAAAATATTCTTTCTAATGTCTCTGTGGCATTGATTGTGTGTGTGGGGGGGGTAAGGGGGGGGGGACATCAGCGTGCGTGTGCAGACATCTGTAACAGGGTAATCTAATATTCAGCATCATGAGATAAACTGAAGTAACGCTCAGCTTAAGGTAAGACGATACACCCCTCCCCCACCCCCACCACCATCGCCACAACTACCATCTCCTTGTTCGGTTGGAACTAGCCCAAACTAGCACTGAAGCTTAGAAAACCAAACTTAACGTAATTTTTTTTGCAATAAATTATTCCTGTGTGGCTCATTACATCTCTTGTTAAGGTTGACGGGGCTGTTGGTACATGTGTGTGTGGTCGCAGGACTCCACCTGGACGCTGAGCCAACGGCAGCTGGGGCTGGCTGCTCACGCCCTCACCACCATGGTGCATCTCCGTGTCCTGAAGCTGCAGTACTGCGGCCACAACCTCCTGCTGGCCACCCTCGGCGCCCACTGCCCCAACCTTCAGGTGTGTGTGTGTGTGTGTGTGTGTGTAAGGGAGGGGGGGAGTATTTACTCTGTCTGCAGGATCAAGCTGTTAGATCTTGGACCTCGCCTTTCTAACAAATGGCTGTCTAATCTGCTGACTCCCGACCCATATTACTTTCTCTCTCTCTCTCTCTCTCTCTCTCTCTCTCTCTCTCTCTCTCTCTCTCTCTCTCTCTCTCTCTCTCTCTCTCTCTGTGTAAAGAATCCTTCAGAACCTTGTATACCACATATGTAAGACCAATCAGAGAGTATGCAGCCCAGCATGGAGCCCGTACCTAGTCAAGCACAAGACGAAGCTGGAAACCGTTCAGAGATATGCCACCTAGACTAGTCACAGAACTAAGAGGCATGAGTTATGAGGACAGGCTGCGTGAACTGCAGCTCACGTCGCTGGAAGACGGTAAAGCTCGGGGAGACATGATCACCACATACAAAATTATCAGGGAAATTTACAGGGTAGACAAGGATGAATTATTTAACATGGGTGGTACACGCACAAGGGGACACAGGTGGAAGCAGAGTACCCAAATGAGCTACAGAGACATTAGAAAGAACGTTTTCAGTGTCAGAGTAGTTAGTACATGGAATATACTAGGAAGTGATGTGGTGGAGGCTGACTCCATACACAATTTCAAATGTAGATATGATAGAGCCCAGTAGGCTCAGGAATCTTTACATCAGTTGATTGATGGTTGAGAGGTGGGACCAAAGAGCCAGAGCTCAACCCCCGCAAGCACAACTAGGTAAGTACAACTAGGTAAGTACAGAGGAAGCAGCCCGTTAAAGCTGTCTAACTCCCAGGTACCTACCTACTGCTAGGTACCAGAGGCATCAGGGTGAAAGAAACTCTGCCCATTTGTTTCTGCCATCGCCGGGGATTGAACCCGGACCCTAGGATTAAGAGTCCATAGCGCCCTCCACTCTGCTATCAAGACCCCCCCCCCACTGTTTTTTTTTTGTGTGTGTACTCACCTAGTTGTACTCACCTAGTTGTGCTTGCGGGGGTTGAGCTCTGGCTCTTTGGTCCCGCCTCTCAACCGTCAATCAACAGGTGTACAGATTCCTGAGCCTATTGGGCTCTATCATATCTGCACTTGAAACTGTGTATGGAGTCAGCCTCCACCACATGACTTCCTAATGCATTCCATTTGTCAACCACTCTGATACTAAAAAAGTTCTTTCTAATATCTCTGTGGCTCATTTGGGCGCTCAGTTTCCACCTGTGTCCCCATGTGTGTGTGCCCCTTGTGTTAAATAGCCTGTCTTTATCTACCCTATCAATTCCCTTGAGAATCTTGAATGTGGTGATCATGTCCCCCCTAACTCTTCTGTCTTCCAGCGAAGTGAGGTTTAATTCCCGTAGTCTCCTCGTAGCTCATACCTCTCAGCTCGGGTACTAGTCTGGTGGCAAATCTTTGAACCTTTTCCAGTTTAGTCTTATCCTTGACTAGATATGGACTCCATGCTGGGGCTGCATACTCCAGGATTGGCCTGACATATTTGGTATACAAAGTTTCGAATGATTCTTTACACAAATTTCTGAATGCCGTTCGTATGTTGGCCAGCCTGGCATATGCCGCTGATGTTATCCTCTTGATATGTGCTGCAGGAGACAGGTCTGGCGTGATATCAATTCCCAAGTCTTTTTCTTCCTCTGACTCCTGAAGATTTTCCTCTCCCAGATGATACCTTGTATTTGGCCTCCTGCTCCCTTCACCTATCTTCATTATATTACATTTGGTTGGGTTAAACTCTAACAACCACTGGTTCGACCATTCCTGCAGTTTGTCTAGGTCTTCTTGAAGCCTCAAACAATCCTCTTCTGTCTTAATCCTTCTCATAATTTTGGCATCGTCTGCAAACATTGAGAGAAATGAATCTATACCCTCCGGGAGATTATTTACATATATCAGAAACAAGATAGGACCTAGTACAGAGCCCTGTGGGACTCCACTGGTGACTTCACGCCAATCGGAGGTCTCACCCCTCACCATAACTCTCTGCTTCCTATTGCTTAGGTACTCCCTTATCCACTGGAGCACTTTACCAGCTACACCTGCCTCTCTCTCCAGCTTATGTACCAGCCTCTTATGCGGTACTGTGTCCAAGGCTTTCCGACAATCCAAGAAAATGCAGTCCGCCCAGACCTCTCTTTCTTGCTTAATCTGTGTTACCTGGTCATAGAATTCTATTAAGCCAGTCAGGCAAGATTTACCCTCCCTGAACCCATGTTGTCGATTTGTCACGAATTCCCTTCTCTCCAGATGTGCTACCAGGTTTTTCTCACGATCTTCTCCATCACCTTGCATGGTATACAAGTCAAGGATACTGGCCTGTAGTTCAGTGCCTCTTGCCTGTCGCCCTTTTTGTATATTGGGACCACATTCGCCGTGTTCCATATTTCTGGTAGGTCTCCCGTCTCCAGTGACCTACTATACACTATGGAGAGTGGCAAGCAAAGTGCCTCTGCACACTCTTTCAGTACCCATGGCGAGATCCCGTCTGGACCAACAGCCTTTCTAACATCCAGGTCCAGCAGGTGTCTCTTGACCTCCTCTCTCGTAATTTCAAACTCTTCCAAGGCCGCCTGGTTTACTTCCCTTTCTCCTAGCATAGTGACCTCACCTTGTTATGTTGTGAAGACCTCTTGGAACTTCTTGTTGAGTTCATCACACACCTCTTTGTCATTCTCTGTATACCTGTCCTCGCCTGTTCTAAGTTTCACTACCTGTTCTTTCACTGTTGTTTTCCTTCTGATGTGACTGTGGAGTAGCTTTGGTTCGGTCTTGGCTTTGTTTGCTATATCATTTTCATAACTTTTCTCTGCTTCTCTTCTCACCCTGACATACTCATTCCTGGTTCTCTGGTATCTCTCTCTGCTTTCTGGTGTTTTGTTATTCCGGAAGTTCCTCCATGCCCTTTTGTTCAGTTTCTTTGCTTCCATACATGCCCTATTATACCATGGATTCTTCTTTTGCTTTTCGGATTTTTCCTTTTGGGCCGGGATGTATCTGCTTACTGCCTCCTGACACTTTTGGGTGACATAGTCCATCATATCTTGTACAGACTTAGCTCTGAGGTCTGTGTCCCAAAGTATTTCCTTTAGGAAGCTTCTCATCTCCTCATAATTTCCCATTCGGTATGCCAGCCTTTTGTTTCCCAGTTCTTTTTTGGGGGGATAATTCCTAGCTCTATCAGGTACTCAAAGTTCAATACACTGTGATCACTCATTCCCAAGGGCGCTTCCATCTTGACTTCCCTTATATCCCACTCATTTCGGGTAAATATCAGATCAAGCATTGCTGGTTCATCCTCTCCTCTCATTCTTGTTGGATCCTTGATGTGCTGGCTTAGAAAGTTTCTTGTTGCCACGTCCAGCAGCTTAGCTCTCCATGTTTCTGGTCCTCCATGTGGGTCTCTGTTCTCCCAATCTATCTTCCCATGGTTGAAGTCTCTCATGATTAGTAGTCCAGATCCATTCCTGCTAGCAACAGAAGCTGCTCTCTGTATTATGTTAATGGTGGCCATATTGTTTCTATCATATTCCTGTCTGGGTCTTCTGTCATTTGGTGGCGGATTATATATGACTACGATTATAATTTTTTGCCCTCCAGTTGTTATTGTTCCTATTATGGAACCTTCAGTGACTACCTTGAAGGTAGTCACTGAAACCTTCAGTGACTACCTTCACACACACACACACACACTGTGTGTGTGTGTGTGTGTGTGTGTGTGACAATGTTTTTCATAGGAAAAGTAAATTGTAAGCACATTGAAGTGAATTTAGATGAAACATGATCATTGGCTATAACAATGAATAAACCGAAAAAGTTTTGAAGAAACATTGACTCAGAGTCGGGGTGAGAATAGCTTGAGCAATATCATCCCTCTCTTATTTAAGTTTCAATTGGCTCAGAGCAGCACGAGCATTGCCACAGTAACCAACATAGGGGGTCCGGTGGGGCGTTCATTCCCCACCTGACTTGAACACTCGTTTTCACAGGTAGTGGATGTGCTTGGTTCCCAGGGCGTTGACGACGAAGGCGTATGGGGCCTGGTGACCGTCAACCACGCCCACTATAACGCCCTTGCACGCCACGCCCTCGCACACTCCCCAAAGTCCTACAACAACAGTCTCAACGTCAGCCCAGGCGGATGCTGGATCCTTGCCTTCAGGAGCCTTGCCTCTAAGATGCTGATGAAAATGGTGCCAAGCAAAGCCCATTCCATGCAGGTACCCAACTCCACCATACCATATCCTGTCCTACCTCATTCTACTACCATCCACTGTCCTCCACCAAATCCCCCTCCCTCTCCTCAATCACGAACCCCACTTCCCTCTATTACTCCACTGCTCTCAGCTTCCCCATTACTGTACCCTCCCTTTCCTTCCCTATACCCGACTATCTCCAATTCAGCGCTCTCATTACAAACAGAAATCACAATAGCGTGATGCATTAAATGAACTAATCCACAATGGCCGTGATGAGGGTTCGAACCTACGTCCGAGAGGATCCTAGACGTGCCTTAATTAACTTTGCTATGACATGGTAAAAGAATTGCAACCGGGAGTTCAACTGACCTCACACGGATCCTGCAATCTGAGACACAAACAAGGGTTTTACGCAATTTCCCTATGCACCTGGGCTCTGTCAATCATCACTGCCCTTGTGAATTTGTTCATTTGGTGCATCACGCTATTGTGATTTCTGTGTAATAAAGTAAGGGCGAAGAGGTAGAACAGCTTATTGACAGCGCTCGGGTGCATGGGGGAATTGTGTAAAATCCTGGTTTGTGTCTCGGAGAGACTGCAGGATCCGTGTGAGGTCAGTTGAACTCCCGGTTGCAATTCTTTTACCATGTCACAGTAAAGTTGATTAAGGCACGTCTAGGACCCTCTCGGACGTAGGTTCGAACCCTCATCACGGCCCTTGTGGAATTTGTTCATTTACACTAATCCCAGATGGCAATCATGTAGGTGGCGATAGGAGTCTCTGTCGATGTTAGTGGATAAGTATCATTCTGATGGTAATAATTAGGTAAACCAAGATTAAAATTAACAGTCAGAAAACAGTTTTTTACCCTTAGGTGAATAACGCTGATACGAAGGTGGAAGAAGATGAGAGTAATGGTGAGGATACGAGCACCAAGACTGGCTGGGGAGTGAAGACTGTTGGAGAGAAGCAGGACCAAGAGGCTGTGATGTGGAGTCTCTGTTGCTCCACTTTGGCGTTCCTGGACCTCCGCTCTACTGGTGTTACGCAAGCCGGGGTCACCATGCTCACCCAAGCCCTGCCAGTCCATGCCCGATTGGCATACGATGCTCACATCCGCCCGGCATTCGATGTACGTGCTCAACTTGAACCAGTTTCCCAAACCTGTCCGGCATCTAATGCCCACACCCGTCTGACATCGCCTGCAAACAACCACCGGACACCGGAAGCTGACACCCCCCGGACAACAGAAAGCCACAACACACACAACACAGACACCCATGACAACACCCATCTTGCCAGCGAGGTCCAGGCAGCAGTAGCCAGGATGGTACAGATACCCTTGTCTGCATTATAGACGACTACCCCTGGATGGTGTTGAAGCCACACTTGGCACACCGGGCCTGCAGCCCCACACTACCTTCAGCCACACAAGGTCACAACTATACTACACTTACTGACACGTTGGACGAGGCTTGACTGGTTTTCATTAGTTCGAGCCAGGTCCAGTTTCATAATTATGCTCGGGAAACAGCATCACCTCTTAGATATTTCCCTCAGCCACACTTGAACATAGCATATCTTCCCTAGTTCCTGTGTTCCACACATTGAATAAACTGACTGAACTACGAAGTGGAGTTGTAGAGAAGGGCTATATACACGGCTTCAAATGTAGATTTGATGGGTCAGGAACCTTTACACCAGTCAGTTGGAATCTCAAAAGTGGAGTAGAAGGTGAAGCTCGGCTCTGGCAATCATAGCGTGTTAGTTAACACATCCACGCATGTACACACATGCGCACACATGGGGTAATACATGCACAGTCTGATAACATCTTTTGGAACAGCTGTGTATATGTTTTCAGTCTCTCCTGCTCACTCTTCCTATCTGTCTTGCGAGCTGCCGTTCTTCCCGTCTCGGTCTCTCTCTTTACCATGAACTCGCTATCTTATCCTTCTCTTTTACTATTTATCTCTATGCTATCTCTCGTTCTTCCTGTCTCTCGACGTCCTCATATGAAGTGTTTTTCATTTTAATATCATGACCGTCATCCTACATTGTTTCATTTGTGTGTTTCTCAGATCCTCAAAAATCAGGGGCCAGATTCACAAAGCAGTTACGCAAGTACTTACGAACCTGTACATCTTTCCTCAATCTTTGACAACTTTGTTTACATTTATTAAACAGTTTACACGCATGAAAACTTCCCAATCAACTGTTCTTATTGTTATAAACAGCCTCTTGATGCCTCGGAGCTCATTAACTGTTTATTAATTGTAAACAAAGCCACCAAAGATTGAGAGGATGTACAGGTTCGTAAGTGCTTGCGTAACTGCTTCGGAAATCTGGCCCCAGGTCGTTCTTCTTCCAAAATTATGTAATGTTTCTTAATAAATGATTATTTGTTGATGTTCATGAACCATTACTTTGCGGTCACTTGTCCCTCGTTAGAATTCTTGATGATTCGGATGCTTTTGATATCGTTCGCCTTATGCATTTCTGTTTTCGTATTAGCACCCTTGGTGATATTTAGCGCCCTCTGATTATTTCGCTCATTTGATGGTGCTACATAGCCTTCCCGGTTTGGTGCCTTCTTTTGATAATTAATTACTTACTCATGAACCATTATCACTTATATATATGTTCGCCCATTTAAAAACTCTCCTTTTCAACAATGCGTTATTCAGTTGTGGTGTGTTAATGTAGGTTGTGGTATTTCTTAATTCTGTGTTGCAAGGTGCAAAAGTAAATGAAGTGATCTACTTAAACGGCTTATACAATATATTATTTTTTAAGTATGTATTTTGTTTAACCTACATTGTTGTTTATACTTTTTCTGTCTCTCGTACTTAATTTCTATGTTTCGGTATAGCCAACTATTGTTAATACTAGTAGTGTAAGATGAGTTAGGAGAGAGCCTTCTGCTTGTCTATTCCCACTTCATCATTTCAGATTGGATTTCTACCAATGATTCAGAATGTTGTGGATTCCTTCACATTGGCCTGCAGGAAAATGATAGTTGACGCCCTTGCTAAGGCTGCAGTTAAAACTCAAGATTCCGTTCAACATTGTATCTATCAAATAGGCCCTTTAATCAATGCATAAAAGTTCGTTATAAGGCAAATAGAACACTGGAATTTATTTATTGAAGGGGGCCTGACAGCTGAGTGGACAGCGTCCGGGATTCGTAGTCCTAAAGTTCCGGGTTAGATCAACGGCGAAGCGGAAACAAATGAACAGTTTTTCACCCTGATGCCCTGTTCACCTAGCAGTAAATAGGTACCCCAGAGTTATACAGTTGCTAGGGGCTGCTTCCTGGGGATATGTAACAAAAAGGAGGCCAGGTCGAGGACCGGGCCGCGGGACGCTAAACCCCGAAATCATCTCGAGGTAATCTTGAGCTCATCTTGATGATTTCGGGGCTTAGTGTCCCCGTGGCCCGATCCTCGACCAGGCCTTCACCCTCAGGAAGCAGCCCGTGACAGCTGACTAACATCCAGGTACCTATTTTACTGCTAGGTAACAGGGGCATAGAGTGAAAGAAACTCTGCCCATTGTTTCTCGCCGGCGCCCGAGATCGAACCCGGGACCACAGGATCACGCGTACAGTGTTCTGTCCGCTTAGCCGCCAGCTCCCTTAGCCTGCATCTTAACCTGAGGTATCTTATCTTGATCTTTTTGGTATGATTTCGGGGCTTTTTAGTGTCCCCGCGGCCCGGTCCTCGACCAGGCCTCCACCCCCAGGAAGCAGCCCTTGACAGCTGACTAACATCCAGGTACCTATTTTACTGCTAGGTAACAAGGGCATAGAGTGAAAGAAACTCTGCCCATTGTTTCTCGCCGGTGCCCGGGATCGAACTCGGGACCACAGGATCACAATTCCAGCGTGCTCTCCTCTCGGCCGACTAACTCCCTTCAAAGGTAACCTGAAGATTAGTAATAGAACACCTGGTGTTGGGTCAATTATGGGTCAATAGGTTTTCTGTAGTTACCTTCATTCTTATGTTCATAATAGAAGTAGGATCCCTTAATTGTTTCAAGCGTATCTTGTAACTATATCATCATTACCTAGCCTTAAAACCTTACATTTGTCAGCATTAAACTGCATCTGCCAATCTTTTGACCATTTCAAAACCCTATTTAGATCGTCTTGAAGTGATAGAGAGTCTTTCCATGTTTATTTCCCTCCAGATTTTTGTATCGGCAAATTTGGGAATATTGTTGCTGAAACCTGAATCTAAATCATTTATATATATTATGAATAACAGAGGTCCCAGAACAGAGCCTTGAGGCACTCCACTGACAACATTTTCCCACTCTGACTTAACCCCATTTATACCAACTCTTAGTTTCCTTTGGTATAGCCATATTAGTATAGACATAGTATAATGTTCCTAGTAGATAATCTTGGTATAGACCAAAAGCCTTCTGTTTTTTATATTCTTTATAGTTGTCGGAAAACCCGACACCATTTAATAATATTACATGCAATAGTCAGATAATGTTGGTGTTGTTGTATAAACAAGTTACCCATAGAAAATATAGCTTGTAGTGGAATTTTCCGTCAATAGAAAACGGGATATCATTGCCACATAGTACTATAAATTCACCACCTATTCTGTTGGGAATTATTCTTAAATACATTAGTCTTTGGACTTTTACCATCATAAAAACATCACGTATAAATTAACTTAATTATCAGTATCAAAATAAAGTAAATGTGACCCTTCTATCACTTATTGACATTGGACAAGGATAGCCAGTAGCGTCAGTGGTGGAGAGTGGGCAGCTATTGTTGAAAAAGACCAGAGTCGTTGGAGCGAGTACAGCTCCTATAATTTCTCTTATGGAGATCAGAGTAGTGTTCTGCCATCAACACGCTGTCAACAACCACAAGGGAAGTGTTTTTCCGAAACCCATTTATCTAATCATTTCTGGCCAGTTAATGTTAGTAGATATAGGGCGAACCGGTTAGAACACAAATGATCGACTCAACCCAAGTAATTAAGCCTTGTTCCTTATCTAATATACAGTGTTTTCTCTGATATAGCTGTCATATATTAGGATTCCGGCTTTATAGCTAGTGCCCTTTGACAGGTCAAGAAGAGGACGCAAGCTTGGTATATCAGTTACCAGGGTGATGGAAGCTAGCCTCAAACGAGGATAATTTGGTGTCTACATCCTGATTATATCTGGTGGACTAAGCCTGCTGTACAATAAGATAGGGCACCTCCAATTTATTTACTAATATATGTAGTTAATACTGTAGTTTGATTGGCTGCATATATATAAATTTAATATAACCCCCCCCCCTAGTGTGTAAGGATCGATTTGTGAGATTATTGCAGAAATACAGTCCACTTAACACCATACAAATGGCTATTGTAATATATAAATTAACGTAAATATAAATTCATATAAATTAAATAAATATAAATCTCACAAGTCGGTTCCTACAATAGTTCTCGATTATTTCCTCTTTTAATGGTATATTTAGCAAGTGTTTAATGAACAGTTAGTCTGTCTGTAGAGGTGAATCCCTAAATTATAGTGCTGTAACTAAGAACAAAGTATTCAATAAATGCGAAATTTTAAGTTGAACATTTAAAGCAAATGTCTCTTAGAAGAATTTGTCTTCGACTTTTACATTAACATGAATTCCTATTTGCCTACTGATGATCCTAGACGTCTAGACGTGCCTTAGTCGATTGCGCTACGACACAAGTTCTTAATCGATTGCGCGCTGGACGTAAGTTCGAACCCTTATCACGGCTCTTGTGGATTTGTTCATTTGATGTATCACGCTATTGTGATTTGTGTGTAACGTTGAATCAGTGTTGATTCAACGTTAAATTAACGTTAATGAAGGTTGATTCAACATGGAACCAACACCACCACTCTTGGATTCTGTGGCCGCTGGGAAATGGTTGATGATGTGAGAGGAAGACTTCAGGGACAAAGCTAGACTTATTTACTGGGTTCAGAGATCTACGTGACTCAGTGATAGATATATCACACTGACACCCACTATCTGTTAATTTGCATCTGATATAGAGATTCTGGTGATATAGTTGTCGAATTAAGAGTTTTCAAGGTCACGGATTCAAGCTGTGATAAGTGTCCTCATGAGCGAGTAGTCTCATCCTCAAAACATTGGCTTCGCAAAATGTTTCTTTACGCTGTGGTGCGGTCTGCCGGCTGCCCCTCAGCCTGTCTTCCAAACAAAGACCCAAAAGTGATTCCATGCACCCGCCAAACCCCCTGTTTATGAATGATAAACGGTTTACACACAACTCTCAACTGATTTCGTTCGAACACTTCCGGAACAAGTGCTTCACTGACGAATTTTGTTTGAGCCACAACGCTGTAAATGCTTCATTTTAATATTTATTTACATTTGAGAAAGTTCCGTTTGGAATGAACAGCATGTAAAAATTTATGAATGCGTTTGTGGGGGTCGACCGTTGTATGTAATGGACTTAAGAGTCGAGGGCGGATTGCACAAATACAAATATTCGCGAACAGAACCTAAAAACTAACCTAACTAATGCCTAAATATGAACAATATGCTAATTAATTTCTAATCATATTAACTTTTATTTGAGAAAATTCCTATTTTGAATAATGAGCATGTTAAATTTTATGAATGGGTCATTGGGGCATTCCGCTGGATGGAATGGACTTGGTCAGTTACTGGCCGGAAAAACTGTTTTTACCAGCAGGACTAGCCGGTGGATCGCTGAGCGACCTCACCATCATATTATGGACAATATAGAGGACGAAAATCCAAGCCTGGCTGTATTCAAACTAGAGTTCTTCAACACCGACAAAACACAACCCGTTCTCGCAAATTTAATAAGTCAATATTGACTTATTAGTTGCGTGCATAGGTGACATACTAAACATAATAGTTTCCCTTGAAAAGCTTCATAGAAAACACCGACCTTACCTAACCTACTTAGTATGTTAAAATAAGCATCTTATAGCTTCGTAATTACAATTGTTACTTAACCTATTATAGGTATAGGTTAGGTAATAATTGTAATTACGAAGCTTATCTTAACATACTAAGTAGGTTAGGTAAGGTCGGTGTTTTCTACGAAGTTTTTCAAGGGAAACTATTATGTTAAGTATGTCACCTATGCACATATTTAATAAGTCAATATTGACTTATTAAATTGTCAATTACTGAAAGCGGAGGTGGGTCACATTTTGCCTAAACCCCCCCTGCAGTTTTCAAAATATCCCAAACATCCCAAATCAGATACCTGAGCCATATAATATATTTTGGAGCCAAATTCTGGCTCTCTGCACGTATTCGCAGTTTGAAATTCCGACTTTTTATATATCTGGAGTTCTGCTCTCCCACAGATTTCAGTATACACTTCAGTATACTCCAGCCTCGAAGTTTCCTCCATTAACTCCTTCCCTGGCCTCGAAGTTCTTCCATCAACTCCTCCCCAAACAATGCTGCAAGTTCCATTGCCATGCCAATAAAAAAGTTTCCTTACTAAAACAATTAAATGTATTCACAAAAAGTCCTCCATCCGACATATTTTTAAACTCTAACACATCGCCACGACGGTACTCCCCCACCCTGGGCGAGTCTATCTCCGGCATGTGGAGACATGCTGTTGGCCGCCTCTGCCAGCCGGGGACTTTCCCCCGCAGTCATCCATGCACTGACCTTCGTCGAGGGAGGACGCATCACTCCTCCCTCCAATATGTTCTCCTATCTCTACTCTCTTATTTCAGCTTACAGCCTTAATAAAATATCTATACTATATATATAAACACTTGCCATGATCACTGGGCACACGATCAAACACTGGCGACTACTGCAACAACTGTTATATTAACTTACCGCAGACTTTATGTCTGGAGGGCCCTCAGGTCCTGGTCCTCACAATGGCGCCCACAAAATCGCTATAGGACTGCCTCACAAGGCTTCTTCTAGTCCTGACATGAGCACTTTATATCGTCCTCAGGCTTCATACATAAACGCCTTCTCTTGTAGGAGCACACAACTAGGGGTTTTCCTCCTCTGCCAGGAACTCAGCACACCACTACCCACTCTCACGACCTCTGTTGCTCAAGTAAGGTCGAGACATACCGCGAGCCTCATGTCAGCAAAGTATCGACATTTCATGTCATGTCGTTTATTTACATGTTCATCCTCTTTTCTCATGCTTTTAAACTATTCACTGACATTTGTCAAGTATTTAATATATTTTCATATATCTATACTTCCTCTGACCTCTCAATCAGGTCCAGATCGCCGAATAACTCACATTGGGGAGACTCGATCTTCAGGTTACCTGGGATCATAACATCTGATACTATCACTATACTCTCACTATTGCTCTGATACTATCACTGTACTCTCACTATTGCTCTGATACTATCACTGTACTCTCACTATTGCTCTGATACTATCACTGTACTCTCACTATTGCTCTGATACTATCACTGTACTCTCACTATTGCTCTGATACTATCACTGTACTCTCACTATTGCTCTGATACTATCACTATACTCTCACTATTGCTCTGATACTATCACTGTACTCTCACTATTGCTCTGATACTATCACTGTACTCTCACTATTGCTCTGATACTATCACTATACTCTCACTATTGCTCTGATACTATCACTATACTCTCACTATTGCTCTGATACTATCACTGTACTCTCACTATTGCTCTGATACTATCACTATACTCTCACTATTGCTCTGATACTATCACTGTACTATCACTATTGCTCTGATACTATCACTGTACTATCACTATTGCTCTGATACTATCACTATACTCTCACTATTGCTCTGATACTATCAGTATACTCTAATGCTGACACTATCACTGTGATATCTCTCTGTTATGGTGCATAGTACTCCTTATATACTAATTAATTTCTTCCTAGGCAATATATTCACACTAGTCACACATCCCAGGCCAGAATACGCCTGGGATGAAGACGTATCTGGCAGCTTTCTCAAAACCCAAATGTCGAGTACACAATGTGTCAACTTTGTGAAAGAGAAAACATGCAAACTGTGTCCATTTGTTTCTGCCTCGTGCGGGAATCGAACCCGCGCCACAGAATTATAAGTCCTGCGCGCAACGAGGCCCCTGTATTGTGAGTTCAATTATTAGTGAAGCTATATTTTTCAACCATGGGAGTTTATCACATGAAGAGGAATGACAAAATTAATAGTGGGCAAAGCTCATCTCAAAATAAAGTTTCAATTAACTAGGAGTTTTGATTTAATAATAACACAACAGTACAATATTTAACAAATTAACATTTATTAATTTGCAAATTAATTTGTTTAGCTTACAATTGCAAACATCATTACCAAACAAGTTGCAAGATCTTATGCACCGTGAAACAAGCATACTATACAACACACACCTGTTTTTGAAGATGCCAGAGACAAAGATTCACTTATGTTATGACCATCCAAACCCCTTACAGTATCTATAAACATTGGGTCACACACATTTAGAAAAGTATAAGAAAACAATGGTTTGCTTTAGTTATTAAAAACATAAAGGCAAATGTGTATGCCCTATACATATAAATTTGCTTTTATAGACGCAAATTCTGTCTATAATCCTATAATTATAGACAGGATGCAATTCTCGCTTGTAGATTAATCGCTATCTTCAGAAACTGATGACAACTCAAGGTCGTCAATTATGTAGTTCATTCCGTTTGTCTTTTTAGCCATTGTATCTTGTTCAGAATCTGAATCACTACTGGAAGAGGAACTGCTATTACTGTCTGAATCACTTGAAGACTCTCTCATTTCCTTGACAGGATCAGATTTCTTAAGCCCCAACATTGGCATTGATCCCGGAGCTGTCCAGTGATTATTGTTGGGACTTTTGTTTGGAAGAGGAGATCTGGCATGTGGATATGCAAGATGGGAAGGAGAAGGTCTCGAGAGTGTGTTGGTTGAGCCATGTGAAACGGGATGGGAAGGAGAAGACTTCTGCGGAGGAGAATTTCTACGTGAAGACGATTCTAATATGAGCCGCTGCGTAGGAATTCGACTGCTGCCATCAGGTCTCGTGGTCTTAACATTAATAGTTCGTGATATACGTTCTAGCACAATCTCTCCAGTCACGTGGTCAATGATGAGGATGCACTCTTTGGCAACAGGCTTATGGTTTCCCTTATATACAGTTTGGGACGTGGTAGAACCCTCAACATGGGGGACAGTAACCGTCACCTGATGATTCTCTTCCACTTCCACTGTTCCCATTTTTTGCTTATCGACACTCGCTGGCTTAAAGTCATACCGTATGGTGTGATAAGCTCCATCCTTGTAGTTCTTGTTGAACGTCTCTCCCAGCTTCAGGTCCTTCTTTTGACCATCCAACCCCCGCTTATATGCCATAATGGTCAAGCACACTACCACAGGGGGTAAACCAAGGCAAAACCAAAAGAGAAAATCACTATATGGAGAAAAATATATATGGAGAGGTTGGTGGAGGTGCTCCAGGTCGCAGGAGACGGGGGAATGAAGTACATGTTCGCCGAGTAATGCCCCTTATATACGCCACACCCCATGGGGACCCACCTCACATAGACCACTCACACACCGCGCCCTCTTCTAACCCATGGGGAAAATTGTGTATCAATGGTGACTCGGTCAACTCTACACTTTCACACACATACACACACGACCAGTCACAGGCCTCACCACCTGCTGGGTCTCCCTCCCTCCCGGGCATAAATGACATATTTTCTGTGTAAATGGAATTTAGAGTGGAAATAAGCTTGAGCTTTGTGCTTAAGCACAAGATAACTGCAGAAGGCCTATTGGCCCCATACGAGGCAGCTCCTAGTTTTAACACCCCAGTCCCACTCATATACATGTCGAACCCACATTTGAAACAATCGAGGGTCCCCACCTCCACCACGTTACTCGGTAATTGGTTCCACAAATCAACAACCCTGTTACCGAACTAGTATTTACCCAAGTCTTTCCTAAATAGGAGCTGCCTCGTATGGGCCAATAGGCCTTCTGCAGTTGCCTTTGTTCTTATGTTCTTAAATCTAAACTTATCCAGTTTATACCCAATTTATACTATGCGAACTTCAAAGTTTCTTTTTGCTTATTAATAAGATATTAAAAGTATCATCACAAGACAGAACACGAAACAATGGGTAATTGGATAAGTTTAGATTTAGGAAAGACTTGGGTAAATACTGGTTCGGTAACATAAGAACAAAGGTAACTGCAGAAGGCCTATTGGCCCATACGCGGCAGCTCCTATCTATAACCACCCAATCCCACTCATATACTTGTCCAACCCGCGCTTGAAACAATGGAGGGACCCCACCTCCACCACGTTACGCGGTAATTGGTTCCACAAATCAACAACCTTGTTACCGAACCAGTATTTACCCAAGTCTTTCCTAAATCTAAACTTATCTAATTTATACCCAGTGTTTCGTGTTCTGTCTTGTGTTGATACTTTTAATACCCTATTATTATCTCCTTTGTTATGTCCATTCATCCACTTGTAAACCTCTATCATGTCACCCTAACTCTTCGCCTTTCCAGTGAATGCAACTTAAGCTTTGTTAATCTTTCTTCATACGAAAGATTTCTAATTTGGAGAATTAACTTAGTCATCCTACGCTGGACACGTTCAAGTGAATTTATATCCATTCTATAATACGGCGACCAAAACTGAACTGCATAATCTAAATTGGGCCTAACCAGAGCAAGATATAGCTGAAGAACCACACCAGGTGTCTTGTTACTAACGCTGCGATTAATAAATCTCAGTGTACTATTTGCCTTATTACGAACATTCATGCATTGAACTTTTTGTTTTAAATTCTTACTTATCATAACTCCCAAACTGACATCATAACTCATAACTGACATCAGCTTCCACTGATGTCTCTTTGTTCTATCTCTTTTTCAATATAAAATAGGCTTCTTTTGTTCACTGTTTATTCCCCTCAGGATCTTGCATGTAGTAATTATATCCCCCCTTTGTTTCTTCTGTTCTTTAAGGTAGTTAGTGAGAGAGCACTCACATTGTCATTGTAACTGTTCTCTCAATTCTGGTACTCATCTAGTTGCAAACTTTTAATTTTTGTTTTTATTTTTTTTGTTCTTCACAAAGATGTTGGGTCATGCTGGTGCTGCATACTCAACTAATGGTCTCACATAGACAGCGTGTAGACTTGACAGCATCCTTGTTAAGATTTTCAAGGATGTTCTATGCTGGCTAACTTCCCACATGATGTTGATATTATCTTGTTCACATGAGCTTCTGGTGTTAAGTGTTGGGATTATATCTACTCCCAGGATGTTTTCTCTTATTGTTTCTTGCATTTGCCTTCCTCCTATGGTGTAGTTGAATACAGCTCTCCTATCTCCCTTCCCCATTTTCATTATTTTACACTTACTTGGATTAAACTCCAGCAGCCAATTGTCTGTCTACTCTTGAAGTTTGTCAAGGTGTAATTGCAACACTTTACAATGCTCATCAGTTCCTACTCTCCTAATTAACTTTGCATCATCTGCAAACATTGACATGTACAAACTCACTCCCTCTGGGAGGTCATTTACATAAATTAGAAGGATGAATGGTCCTAGGACACAACCCTGTGGGATACCACTTTCCACTCCACTACAGTCTGACATTCTTTTTATGATCCTTCGTTTCCTGTCAGGTACTTTAGTACAGTACTCAGTCTAGTGCTAGTCCTATTATTCCCGTTTGTCTTTCCGTCTTCTGTATTAATCTTTAAAAATCTTGATGATACTGAGTCTTAAAACAACATTGAGGGGGTAAAAAAAGCTATTGACTGGTAAACAAATTTGAAAAATCAGTTAAGCAGTAACACTAAGAGCAAATGAGAAAAAGAATCAGAAAAAGTGGTAATGAAAGAGGTCCTAATGTAAACATAACTGGATTTGATGAGTGTAATACTGTATGTATGAGCCCTATGTGTAATGTATTGCACGATTGTGATTATCTTGAGATTATCTTGAGATGATTTTGGGGCTTAGCGTGCCCGCGGCCCGGTCCTCAACCAGGCCTCCTTTTAGTTACACATCCCCAGGAAGCAGCTGTCTAACTCCCAGGTACCTATTTACTGCTAGGTAACAGGGGCATCGAGGTGAAAGAAACATTTTTCCCATTTGTCTCCGCCTCCACCGGGGATCGAACCCGGAACCTCAGGACTACAAATCCGAAGTGCTGTCCACTCAGCTGCCAGGCGTGATTGGAAGAATATATGAAATTAAATAAATTTGTTAGTGATAAGAAAGGTGGGTTCCTTGGTGGAAGTGGTTACATAGATCAGGTATTTGTACCAAGACAGCTCATGAAGTTTAGCCATAATGAATTTGAAAAAATTATATAGCTTATCAAAAGAATGCACTGAACACAGTGCTTCATAGCACCCACTCTGTTACAGAATATTTAAGAGTTCCTAAATATAAATCAAGATATCAATATGAGAGCTGAAAGACATAAGACAAGCAATGTTAAAAAAGTTGGATTCACAGAACACATAACTCAAAGGAACGGTAGACACAAAAATATTTTATCCTGAAAACCAGGACATTCTATGAAGTGAGAAATTATATAACAATGTTAATAAAGGACTCTGGAGAGTGAAACGTATATACATGTAGTTGGTCGAGTTCTGTTAAAGGACATGAAAAGCATTTATTTAGGAAGTAGTGCATGTGTGTTAATGGTATAATGAGTGACTTGTTTGATAGTATTTATATCAGGGCTGTTCAATACATACATGAAAAGAATATTAAAGGTGCAAACCTACTGAATAGACTTAATATGAATAATTAGCATACATTTCAGCTACCAGAGGGCTGAAGGATAATCTGAGATGCGCATATAGTAATAAGAGAATAGGAAAAGCAAGGACAAGTTGTCATGGAGATGTCACGTGCCAAAGTTGATAAACTGCCAGGTTAATGAGAGTATACCAAGATGGTTTAGGTTTGTAGAATGACTATGGTAGATTGGCGAGTATAGTTACTGGATGAGAATTACGCTTGTGGTGTCACATCTTCCTGGTACTGTACTGTACTTTGTCATACGACTTTTTTTTTTTTTTTTTTTTTTTTTTTAATTATTTCGGTTTTGGCATCCACTTCAAGTGTGTGTAGTAAAAGTGAATTTCAAGAGAGGAAATGAAGGTCAATAAGAAGTGATGGTGGAAATGGTGGGAAAGAGAAAGTGGAGTAAGTAAGTAATTATCAAGTAAGTAAAGGAGGAAGTGGAGATTGTCAAAGATGCAAGATACAATAAAATACAAGGCTGAGCACAAGTGGTTTTATAAGAAGCAAGTCTTAAATAATACATAGTGCTAAGCCTATGAGTTGTCTACTTGGTGCTGTTGCTTGGCTATTATATTTTATAGACCACATTCATATTATCTCCTCAGTTTAATGATCTACATGTCACTATACACTATACCCAACTTGTTAAATCACGTGATCACTAAATCAGTTTAACCTACTTGATGGGGTTCTGAGAGTTCTTCTACTCCCCAAGCCTGGTCTGGGGCCAGGCTTGACTTGTGAGAGTTTGGTCCACCAGGCTGTTGCTTGGAGCGGCCAGCAGGCTCACATACCCACCACAGCCTGGTTGGTCCGGCACGTTTTTTAGGAAACAGTCTAGTTTTTTCTTGAATATGTCCACGGTTGTTCCGGCAATATTTCTTATAGTCGCTGGGAGGATGCTGAACAACATTGGATCTCTGATGTTTATACAGTGTTCTCTGATTGTGCCTATTTGTCGTTAAACAATTTTTTTCTCCCAAGTAATTTTTGTGCCCACCCCTAAATTATATATTTTACTTCATGGAAATTATGTAACTCCCTCCCTCTCACATACATACTCGTTATTCCCACCCACCCACACATCTCTCACTCCACTTCCCCCCCCCCCACACACACACACACTCTCCCCCTTCCACCCACACATCCTTTTCATTTTTTCGAAGATTGTTCAGCATCCCTGTGTACAGGAGTTGTAGCAGATGTGTGGAAAAAGGCTAACATAGTTCCAATCTACAAAAGTGGCAGCAGGGAAGACCCCCTCAATTATAGACCTGTATCATTGACAAGTGTAATAGTCAAAATATTGGAAAAAATAAAACTAAATGGGTAGAACACCTGGAGAGAAATAATATAATATCAGACAGACAGTATGGTTTTCGATCTGGAAGATTCTGAGTATCAAATTTACTCAGTTTCTATGATAGAGCCACAGAGATGCTACAGGAAAGAGATGGTTGGGCTGACTGCATCTATCTGGACCTAAAAAAGGCTTTTGACAGAGTTCCACACAAGAGGTTGTTCTGGAAACTGGAAAATATTGGAGGGGTGACAGGTAAGCTTCTAACATGAATGAAAAATTTTCTAACTGACAGAAAAATGAGGGCAGTAATCAGAGGCAATGTATCAGCCTGGAGAAATGTCACAAGTGGAGTACCACAGGGTTCAGTTCTTGCACCGGTGATGTTTATTGTCTACATAAATGATCTTCCAGTTAGAATACAGAATTATATGAACATGTTTGCTGATGATGCTAAAATAATAGGAAGGATTACACTCACTCACAACTTAGATGATTGTCAAGCCCTTCAAGAAGACCTGGACAAAATAAGTATATGGAGCACCACTTGGCAAATGGAATTTAATGTGAATAAATGCCATGTTATAGAATGTGGAATAGGTGAACACACACAACCTATAAATTATGTGAGAAATCCTTAAAGAATTCTGATAAAGAGATCTAAGGGTGGATCTAGATAGAAAACTTTCTCCTGAGGACCACATAAAGAACATTGTGCGAGGAGTCTATGCCACGCTTTCTAACTTCAGAATTGCTTTTAAATACATGGATGGCAAAATACTAAAGAAATTGTTCACAACTTTTGTTAGGCCAAAGCTTGAATATGCAGCGGTTGTGTGGTGCCCATATCTTAAGAAGCACATCAGCAAACTGGAAAAGGTGCAAAGACATGCTACTAAGTGGCTACCAGAACAAGGGCAAGAGCTGCAAGGAGAAGGTAGAAGCATTAAATATGCCAAAACTAGAAGACAGAAGAAAAAGAGGTGATATGATCACTACATACAAAATAGTAACAGGTTATCTTAGTCATCTTGAGATGATTTCGGGGCTTTAGTGTCCCCGCGGCCCGGTCCTCGACCAGGCCTCCACCCCCAGGAAGCAGCCCGTGACAGCTGACTAACACCCAGGTACCTATTTTACTGCTAGGTAACAGGGGCATAGGGTGAAAGAAACTCTGCCCATTGTTTCTCACCGGCGCCCGGGATCGAACCCGGGACCACAGGATCACAAGTCCAGCGTGCTGTCCGCTCGGCCGACCGGCTTCCCCAGCCGGATACACCTGGTGCACTCACTTATACACTCGGTGCACTCACTCATACACCTGGTGCACTCACTCATACACCTGGTGCACTCACTCATACACCTGAACTCACTCTCACACCTGGTGCACTCACTCATACACCTGGTGCACTCACTCTCACACCTGGTGCACTCACTCATACACCTGGTGCACTCACTCTCACACCTGGTGCACTCACTCATACACCTGGTGCACTCACTCTCACACCTGGTGTACTCATACACTTGGTGCACTCACTCATACACTTGTTGCACTCACTCATACACCTGGTGCACTCACTCATACACTTGTTGCACTCACTCATACACATGTTGCACTCACTCATACACTTGTTGCACTCACTCTCACACCTGGTGCACTCACTCATACACTTGTTGCACTCACTCTCACACCTGGTGCACTCACTCATACACCTGGTGCACAGGTGTATCAGGAATTGATAAAATCGACAGGGAAGATTTCCTGAGACCTGGAACTTCAAGAACAAGAGGGCACAGATTTAAACTAATTAAACACAGATGCAGAAGAAATATAAGAAAATTCACTTTTGCAAACAGAGTGGTAGACAGTTGGAACAAGTTAAGCAACAAAGTGATGGAGGCCAAAACCGTCAGTAGTTACAAAGCATTATATGACAAAGAGGTAAGTAATTATCAAAAGAAGGCACCAAACCGGGAAGGCTATGTAGCCCCATCAAATGCGCAAAATAATCAGAGGGCGCTAAATATCACCAAGGATGCCAATACGAGAACAAAAACGCATAAGGCGAACGATATCAATTATATGACAAAGTGCTGGGAAGATGGGACACCACGAGCGTAGCTCTCATCCTGTAACTACACTTAGGTAATTACACACACTCTCCCCCTTCCATCCACACACACACACACACTCCTGTCTCCCTTCCACCCACACACACACTCCTCTCTCCCCCTTCCACCCACTCACACACACTCCTCTCTCCCTTCCACTTACAATCCTCTCTCTCCCCCTTCCACGCACACACACACACACACACTCCTCTCTCCCTCCCACTCACTCACAAACACACTCTCCTTTCCTCCCACCCACACTACAGGGCACCAGTGGCTGACTGGACAGCACGCTGGATGGGTGATCCTGTGGTCGCGGGTTCGATTCTGGCTCTGACGAGAAACAATGGGCAGAGTTTCTCTCACCCTGATGCCCCTGTTACCTAGTAGTAAATAGGTACCTGGGAGTTAGTCAGCTGTCATGGGCTGCTTCCTGGTGGGTGGGGTGTGTGTGTGTGTGTGTGTGTGTGTGTGAAAATAAATAAATAAATAGTAGTTAGTAACAGTTGATTGACAGTTGAGAGGCGGGCCAAAAGAGCAGAGTTCAACCCCCGCAAGCACAACTAGGTGAATACACACTCGTCTTTCCCTCCTGTCCACGCACACATTCATCTCTCTTGTCCTCCCACCCAGACACTCATCCCCTCCCTCCCACCCAAACACATACTCTCTCTCTCACCAACCAACACTTGTCCCTCCCTCCCCACCAATATTCATTCATCCCGCCTGCCCCCACACACACATTGTTTCCTCCCACCAACCAACAATCATCCCTCTCTCTCTCATCCCTAAAATTCCTTCCTCTCTCTCATCCACCCCTCCCTACCACCCACCAACATTCATCCCTCTCCCATCCACCAACATTCGTCCCTCTCTCTCTCTCATCCACCAACACTCGTCCCTCCCTCCAGCCCCCCCCCCCCCCCACTTATTCTTCCCACCTGCCCATCCATACTACTCCCTCTCAAACCACCACATAAACAGTCATCCCTCCCACTCACAATTGCTGAGAAACACTGGTACATTCCTTAAGTCACTGCCGGAGAACACTTGTACACTCCCACAATCACTGCCAGAGAACACTTGTACACTCCCACAATCACAGCCGGAGAACACTTGTACAGTCCCACAATCACTGCTGGAAAACAATAGTACAGTCCCATTCTCGGTTACTCCTGCAAAATGCAGGTATATTCCTGCAGTCACTGCTGGAAAACACTTATATTCCCTATCACTCCTGGGAAACTAAGGACCATTCCCACAAATACTCCAGGAAAATACTGGTACATTCTGCCCATTTACTTAGTGGCAAGCTTGGTAAATTAAATAGCATCCATAATCCACCTTTACTGGACACTGACTTGGTTAATAAGGCTCCAAATACTAGTCCCAAAACTGGCTGTTAAATCCAGCAGGATGCTAATCAGAGGGCCTTATATTGAGTAGATACTAATTCTCTAAGTTAAAATCCCTGAATTCTTGTAATGTTTGACAAGCAGATGTGGTTAATATAGCCAAAGTAAATTTTTTGCACTTATCGTTCTGCAATTACATAATTTTAAAACAATACTGTAACCCGTCCATTAAGTGGGTATACAATGTAGTGAAGGAGGGACTGTATATATTTGTACTGTAAATGACAATCTACAAGGAGCCCTGTACACTTGGTAGAAATGGTAGGTTGCTGATGTGGATAATTACCACAATATGGTAGTAGATGCTTATCTGTGGTGCTAATGTAAATGATGTAACAATGAACCAGTGATTTATTATTATTATTATCCATAACCTTTCGCAATTATTATTTCCAGTTTTTCACTGGGTTGATGACCCAGCTCATGTAGGTAACAACAAACAAACAGAGATAATAATAATACTGTAATGAATGCTAAGCCTTCCACTTCAACTCGTGTATATATCCTTTGTTCACAGTAATATTATTATTCATTCATTCATTCCACATGACCAAACCACTTAAGTCTCTTCAGTTATTACAAGAACAGACTTTTGCTGCCTATCTTTTCAAAACACACTTTAACCGCCCTATCATAATATATTACCACAGGTATCTTAGCTTGTATATCTCAACTGTATTAATTTAGAATCTTTCAGGCTCATGTCACACCAGTGTTTCATGCTTATACTGTAGAGTTGGAACATTCACCAATTAATGCAGCCCTCTATCTGCACCTCTTCCTACTTTGTTCATTCTAACCAAGGAAGAACAAGGTAGGAAGATGGAAATTTAATAAAATAAATTTGAGGTTCTAATATAAAAGTAATAATATTCTTATTAATATTTTAATACCACAGTGGTTTTGTATATTATTTATATTTTATTAATTACAATCCTGCCAGCAAGATTATATGAACCAGAAATAGTCATTGGTCATTTTCTGTCTCGAGAATCTGAAGAACTCGCATTTGTAATATAATTTTATAACGATTATAAATCATTGAATGTTTGGAGACCCACTCAGATCAAGATAACTTGACTACAACAAAGTAAATTTGTTATGCATATTTTCACTGAGAACATTTTCTTTGGGGATGAGTTTTAGGACAAAATACCAAGAAACTTACTTGAATTAAATATGATTTTAAATTTGGAAACATTTCAAAATTAATTGATTCCTTATAAATCCTGTTAATAATAAATATTTCTGATTGTAATATATATGATTTTTCATAAAGGTCTAGAACCGAAAAAATTGCAAAACAACCACCAAGTTAATAAAGTACTTTACCCTAAATAGCAAATGGTCATTGATATGGGGATGTTTTATTATATTTTCTTCTGCAATAAAGGTAACCCCCCCCCACTTACCTCATTTCCTGGTGATCAGGAACTGTATAGCTTCAAATTGAAAAATTCTAACTATAAATTTTTGCCCAACACAGATTTTATCTAATTATAACAGGAGTATAAAATGAATTTCCCATGTTCAATTCTGTTGGCCAGTGAAACTTATTCAAGGTTTTGATTAATAATATTAAATTTAGAACACCTATAATTTACTTAAATATGGAATGCTATTAAGCCAGTATGTCTTGTGATGCATGTGGCAGTTGACTACCTCTAGCCAGTCAAGTCATGGTTGTCACCTCTGTTTATTAAATAGAATAATCACAAACTATACAGCTATATACAAAAGTCAGCAGCCCTGGAGCACCGACATAGCACAACCTCCTGCATGTTGCAATATGGCTATTTACTAAGATTTTTCCACAATATTTACTGTAAAAAACTCAACATATGTTTTAACCACAAAGTGTGAGTATTTGAGGCAATATAAAAAAGTGTGTTCCTATCGAGACATCATCAATGGTCACTGCTTATTAGATATTATTGTTTCTTCTAAGATGATTCCCAAATTTTAAAATAGCTTTTTTTAAGCAATGTGGCAAGATGAGTTCCCACACATGATGTGAAGATGATAAAGAATGAAGGAAACCATACCAAAGGTTATGTAAATAAAGAAACCCAAACTGATGGTCTACAGGCCTATAGGCCTAATACTTTAACACATTTTATTAAAAAAGTTCCTAAGTCTAATATTGATTAACATTTCCTTAGTTGAAAATCGTTGGTCAATATGGAAAGTTTAAATGTATGGCTAACAAGCCATAACATATGTCAGCAGCTGATTAACAATATCAACTGACAACTGAGAATCTTTAGAACACTTCTAATATTGAAACAATATTCACATGCAGAGTATTTGTATTGTCCTATATCCTCAGTGAAGCACCAATACAGCAATATACTGTAAAAGAAAAAAAAATATGATGATTCATTTATTCCACTGCACACATGCACTTGAAATTTTATTTCACAAATTTTTCTCACTTTTTAAATAAGAGTATTTTCAGAGGTAATAAAAAATATATATATTATCATTTTAGGAGGTATCTAACATACCACAAAACATCTTTCATAGTCATGTCAATGCCACCCATGAAACAAATCAAATTGCAAGCAAAAACAGTGGAATTCAGTGAGTCATCAAAGTTAATAAAGATATCTTCAGGTGGACAAAACATAATATTCTGCTATGTTCTGGTACACTGCAACTGATAAGCTAGGACTTGTGCTGATCCTGACAATGATCAAAACAGCTGAGGACTTGCACTGATCTTGACAGTAATCAATACAGCTGACTTTCTTAACGTCACATGACATGGCACCTTTAAGGGCCAATTTTAGCTCATATGACAAAAAAATCACTTGGTTTCAGCAGTAACAGGACTCGTATTTTTTTTTTTATCCAGGGCTGGCCAAATGAATAGAGCGCCATCAAGCAGTGAGGCCAATGGTTGTACATCCTGTTGACAACATGCATCGGCAAGGGACGATTTCACAGCCAAAATGTAACATTTACATCCATAAGTTTCATACATAAATGTACAGCAACAACAAGAACTCTCACAGAACCATAATAAATATAAACACAGCTATGGCTATATGTACAAAACATGTCAAATAATGGGACTTAGGTGATATCTGAGTTGAGTTGTGTACAAGGAACAGAGCTGACATGAACAGAGCATATTTTTGGTAAATTTTATTAATTATTTTCCGCACTGCTCTTCAAATGCAGCCATCAGGTCACTCTGACGATTCATGTCTATTTGACCCGCCATCTGGAAGAAAAACATTATTCTATTAGGTTACTAATTAGGTAAGAAAAACAACAAACATTGACATTCATATAAAAACTCAATAAAATTAATGTTAATACTGAGGACATGACCCACAATTATAATAGAATCTCCAAGCCTAGACCTAAATATAAATAAATACTGATGTCCCACAAAACCTTGAAATAATAAGTACATTACTTTCAAATCGCACAATGTATGAACTTTCCTATTGGATCACCTACCTGAAATCTGGAATCGATACAGATTTCAAAGTGATGATATATATGTGTATGTGACATTTTCTGTGAGTGGCCCATTGCTACTAAAACTGGACCTGTCCATTCCAGGTATTTCCTTTTATGCTGGTAGCAATTACTCATGGATTTTTTTTAATCATATTAATGTTTAATTTTCTACAAGTATAAAAGATGTCTACTGAATGTATTTTTTAAGTTCCCTCTATTTCAGAGACCTCAATTGCTAATCTCAATTGCTTTGAAGCCATACTTGATGTAAGAAGGCACAAGTGATTTGAAAATTTATACTTTGGAGATCTGGCCACTCATTCCCAACTAACAATATTCTGGGCTCCTTGAGCAGCTCAGAGACTGCTCAGCAATGTGAAAAATGTTTACAATCTTTTACATTTTCAAAGTTACTTGTTTAAACTATAAATCTGGTTTAAAAATGATTGCAAATGAATTCTCTAAGATAATAGATGCAAAGACAAAGGTTTACTGTATTTATAATAGATTATACATGACAATGATGAAAATAAGTGTGTTTATGGACAGCAATTGAATGACATGATTTAGCGTCATTGGAATGTATTGTCATCGAAATGCAAAAGTATTCTTAATTAAATTAAAAGCATTAAATTAAATTATAAATTAAGAGCAATGTCTGCAAAGGATAACATGAAGCTGTGACTTGTATTTTTGTCTATATCTAATATGAGAATGAGAAAACCAAGCTTTGAATGTAATGAAAAGCCTTTTTGATGGAGGAGCACTAATTGCACCTTGAAGATCATTACTACCAATCAGATAGCCCTGACCCCCAGCATGCAACTAAATCCCCTTATCAGCCAGCTCTGGAGCTGATGTACAACCCAATAATGATTCAACAAACCAGAGAGACAGAATCAGGGAGCCATTGGGGCTCCGCCAGAAAGAGGTGTTTTATTATTTTCAGCGCTGGGTTTCTAGGGGAGCTCCCAGGTGGCCTTCTGAAGCTAACAACAGAATAAAATAACGGGACTTAGCAGGGAGAAGGAGAGAAGTCAAGCGCTAGGATGAAGAAGAAGAGAACCCTACCTGGGGGAGACAGCCCAAAGCAACATATGACCAACTGGGACCAGGAAAACTAAATACCAGGCAGCCAGAACGCTGTTAGACTGCCAAAATCCCTGACCCCAAATATCAGCCCAGGACATATTAAAGAAAACTATGGCTAAAGCTGCATATTTGTGAACATCATAGGTCTAAGGGTAGACCTCAGGCTGGGTAGCTATGATGAGATTGTGGACGACTTGGGAAATATGAGCCTTGGAAAAGGAAACCAAGGAAACAGGGGTAATCAATAACGTCCCCACCAAGGCAGAACCAGTGGCCTGCAGATAGCAGAGAAGAGCTGCTACCAGACACAGTAAATGATGGACCTCTGATCAAACCAACCAAACTTGAGAAACCATGATAAAACATTAGAAATACCGAGAAAATATTATATATTCAATACATACAGTTCCAATTTCACACAAAATATGCAGAACTAGGCTGAACTCTGAAAATGTTATGAGATTACTATAGCCACCATAACAGCTTATTAGTTCCTAATTGTGCATGACAATGTTCATAGTTTTACAGTATCTAAAATGTGTACAGTATAATAACACCAAAAACTTAATGTTTTATTGTTCTAAGCATACAATATTGTGCGCATCTAAGTGACACGAATATATTTGAGCATTCCGATGTTTAACACATTTTATTATATAAATTTCTCAAAAGACAATATTGAAACATATTACTAAAAAAAAATAAAAAAAAAACCCTAATCAGACACATTAGAATAAATATGTGAAAATATCTTTGAGGGAACTCCTCTTCACAGCTGGCTTGGGATGACCACTCCAACGGCAATTCCTCAAAGAACGTGCACAAATTGTTGTTATCGCAAGACCTCCAGGCTGAACCATAGCCAAAGTCATACACCTCAAAGTCAACAGTTCCCATGGTGTAGTGGTTAAGACACTCGCCTGTCATTTTGCGAGTGATTTGTCCTTGGTTCGTATCCTGGCTGGGGAGGATTTACTGGGAGTCAATCCTTAACTGTAGCCTGTGTTCACCCAACAGTAAAATGGGTACCTGGTTGTTAAACGATTTGGTGGGGTCGTATTCCAGGGAACATAGGATTAAGGATTAACCCGAAACTCTAATCGTGCTAGTGGCTGTACAAGAATGTAAGAATTCTTATATAAATAAGAATTTTTTTAGTGGGGCTTGACGGTTGAGTGGACAGCGCTCGGGATTAGTAATCCTAGGGTCCGGGGATCGATCACAGGCGAAGGCGGAAACACGTGGGCAGTTTCTTTCATCCTGATGCTCCTGTTCACCTAACAGTAAATAGGTATCTGGGAGCTAAACAGCTGCTATGGGCTGCTTCCTAGGAAAATGTGTGAAAAAACCAGCGTAGAATGTAATGAAATGCCATTTTCTGGGTGAGTCCCGGAGGCTCCCCGGAGCTATCCATGGCTGATATGGATAGCCTAACTATTTTGTACCAGTCGATGTGGGTGGAGTTCTAGCCTACCGGGGATCACGAGTCAGAACCTGGCCCCCTCACAGAGGCATGGGAAGCAATGGCCCATAGAAATGCACATGTGCTTTGGAGCATTCTATATCTGCCATCGACTTGGACAGGCACCCAGAAAGGTAAGCGCCTCAAAATAAACTCCTATTCTGGTTAGCAACGAAAATCGTCAAACGAGTGGACAGAACTCCCTAAAGAAAAACGAGCAAACAAGCATGACGTCACACGAACCGCACTGCATGTCTGCGCAGCTCCCCCCCCCCTCCCCGGGAGGGGAAAGGGGGAGCCCCAAACCCTCGCGCCGGCGATCCCCGCCCCAGTTCCTCGGCTGATAGGATCGTGCATAGTCGTGTGGCTCCAGCTCCAGTCTTGTCTCAGTGCTGTTCATTGTTTTCAGTGCTGCTCTTCCGGTGGTCATGTGAGCTGGGAGTATTATTCTCAGGTACTCTGGCTGCATGTGCTTAGGGTCACCTTCCCTGAGTGCCCTGTAAGTACTGCCCTTGGGGCTTGGGGTTATCTTCCACAAGTCGCCTTGGGTCTACCTCTGTTGGCCTTTCGCTGCTTGGCGCTTGGCCGCCCCGAGTGTTTGGGGGTTTCCCTCCCTTGTTTACCTTGGGGTAAGTGGTAGTTATAGCACTGGTGGGGCGCTGGGTACTGCGTAGCTAGTTTTCACCGAACACCGGCCGCCTCTGTTCCCTCTTGGTACATTGTCCACTTGCATGGTTTTTCTTTTCTTTTTGTTTTTGCCTGGTGGGGGTCTGCATTATGTTCTCCCTCCCCCTTATATTAGGGGGTCGTTTTTTGTGGTGGCACCCCCTGCTTCGCTCTCGTGAGTGAACACGTCCCGTGGGTTCAGCTTTTAACAGTTTGCTTGGTAGTTTGGGGCGCCGGTTAGCAGTGCCCTGCCTCGGATAACCCTTAGCAGACCCAGTATAAGGGCCTTGGAAAACCTAGCGGGGGCTCTCGGGGTCCGATGGAGGAGGCCCCTTGCGGCCCCTCTCGCTTTGTGCGAGATTGAGGGTTGCTCTGTCCCCTTGTCTCAGGGTGACACTCATTGTTTTTGCCTCCATCATGCTACCTGTTGGGTCGGTGACACATTCGACCCTGAGTCCGGCAAGCTGTGTTGCTTGTGCGTGACTCAATTCACCCTGTCTGATGATGATTTGCTTCAAATGCAGGCAGCTCGCGTGTTGCGGGGTAGGTTTAGGTTGTTGCAACGCTCTCGGATTGTCGCTTCCCTGGACGCCCCGAGGCTGCCCCGCTTTGTCTATAGAGACTCGGACTTGGGGGTGTTGGCCTCTTCGGCCCTGGTTACATCCGCTCCCCCTCATTCTTTTCCTTCGGTGGTTCATTCGGTCCCCCCCGCAACCCCCCCCCCCTGCTTCCGGCCCCTAAGCATCAGAGGGCTTCAGGGTCGGGGCAGGGTTCAGAGATTTCTGAGACTCGGGCAGTTTCGGGGGTTGCCTCGTCCGGGGTGGCTGTGGAGGCATTTGAGTCTGTTCCTCCTGCCGATGCTCAAGGGTCTGACGAGTGGGCCCCTTCTCTTCCGGGTCTTTCGGCTGCCCCGGCCTTTTCTTGTGGGGCCGGGGCTTTGGAGGACGACTCGGCCCCGGGGCTGGGGCTTTGGAGAATGACTTAGCCCCGGGGCCTGGTGTGGAGGTTCCCGGGGTTGGGGAGGAGCTGACATGGGGGCCTTGAGCTCCATTGGACCACGCCTGGATTTTCCATCCTTCTGAGCTGGGCTTATTGTTGCAAGGAGTGGGGTTTTCTTTTCCCCCCCTCTGCGTACGATTTGGACTTGGGTTCTGCTCCTCCCCAGGTTCGGATCCGTGTCCCTGTGGATTCTTCGGTTCCATCTTTCCGGAGGTTTTCGGCTTCCCGCATCTCTCCGCCTGAGGTGCGGTCGGCTTTCGCGGCTTACCTCCTGCGTGACCGGGAGTACACCTCCATAATAGATCCTCCTTCGTTCAGGTTTGGATCGTCGTGTCCTTACTGGGTGCATTATAAGGTTCCAGGGTCGTCCTGGCTTGCAGACTGTCCCCTTGTTTTCGTTGGATGCTTGGGACTCGTTCTGTTGGACCCCCACACATTTGAGTGGCGCGAGACAGTGATGGTGGTCCAGGTTTACCAGGGGGAGCGATTTTGAGCATCTTAACAGTATTGAGCCCCGGGCGTGCACTCCGTGCGTATGCACGAAGTAGGTGTGGCGGTGCAGGCAAGTGCTCGGCGACACTAAATGGTATACTTGTTTCACTTTTCTCACCTTAATTCTCATGCTACGTCGCTCGTTTTGGTATCATTGTGTTCACAATAGAATTCCCTACAGGTGTATATGCATATATGGTCCAAAAGCCAAGCTTGACTCCCCCACAGCAAAGCCTAAAGTCGGGAAAAGTTACCCATGAGCGCACAAAATCAGTAAAATGTGTATACTCGTTTCAGTTTTCTCACCTTAATTCTCGTGTTACGTCGTTCGTTTTGATATCAATGTGTTAACAATTAAATTCCCTGAAGGTGTATATGCATATATTGTCCAAAAGCCCAGCATGACTCCCTTAGCAAAGCCTAAAGTTACCCGTGAACGTGATCCAATTATCACACCCGCAACCTAATGTGTATTCTCGTTCAGTTTGATAACATCAATTTTCGTGTTACGTCGCTCGTTTTGGTATCAAATTGTTGGCAATATAAAGGCACGTATTTTAAAACTAGTCCCATAATAACAGAGCAATAACTGGAATTTTAACAGATATTTTAATTTTGGACGCTCATCACAAAATTATTTATATCTTTCCAGTGTTCTGACATAAAATTTCGTGTTACATCTTTAATTTTAGTATCAAATTGTTCGCAATGTAAAGGCGCGCATTTTAAAACTAGTCCCATAATAATAGCACAATAAATAGAAGTTTAACAAATATTTTAAAAATTTTACCAAAAACGTATTTATAATCTTTCAAGTGTTCTGACATCAAGTTTTGTGTTACATCTTTCATGTTGATATCAAATTGTGCGGACTCTAAAGGTGCTCATTTTGAAACTATGCCGAAGTCGATCGAATAGAAAATGAATTTTATACAAATATTTTTTGTATTGGACTCGAGCAGTGTCCAAAGAGAGCAATAGTGTTAACACTTTCGGTACCTGATGCCAGTATATCCGTCAAAAAACATAAGTATGGATACGGCTTTACACAATCGGCATCAATAATTTAAAAAATGTTCAAAATTCCATTTAACGTCTGAATACTATGGGACATGTTTCAAAATGAGCACCAACTTCTTCCCATTTTCTGTATATCCCACATGGCATCCTGACCCCACCGTGTGGGCAGCCACCCATGCTGGAGGCTTATTGTTCTCGTGACCTCGTTCGTGACAGCCGCGATCTCCCAATTCTGGTTATTTTATCTCATGTAGTATTTGTTGTTACCGGCTTTATAAACACTGCAAACTGACTTCCAGATGGATACTGATCAGGACAGAGCCAATCCAAGACGAAAGCAGTGAAAGAATCACGAATGAGGGAAAAGTTATTGAGTTGTCATTGAAAGTATAGGAAAGTGAGAAATATATTCTTATATGAAAATATCCCTTTACAAAATTCTATTGCGAACAATTTGATACCAAATTGAACGACGTAGCATGAAAATTTAGGTGAGAAAGCTGAAGAGAATAAACATTGGAGTGGTGAGCTCTCAGGCAATGCTCAGGCTATTTTGCAGTGTGCGGCGGGTCTAAGGTATAGCAAAGTGAGACTTATATGTTCTTATATGCAAATATCCCTTCACAGCTTTCTACTGCAAACATTCTACTGTAGCACGAAAATTGAGAAACGTCGCGCACCGCTTGGGCTACCATGAGGTGCGCTACGGGTCTCCCGCCGGGGCAACGAAAGTGTTAACAAATGCACAGCCCATGGGTTAATACTGTAGAAACTGAAAGTGTTAGCTAAAGAAAAAAAAAATATCTAGACTCACCGCTTCCCTCCGTCTTCGTTCTTGTTCTCTAAGCTTTTGTCGATCGCGATCACTGAGTTTTGCATTATCATGCGAGGATGTTGGTGTGGCTGGGGGATGGGAGCTTGGTGGACCTGCAGGTGTTGCCAACTGTGGATGAGGTGATGTGGATGCAGTCATTGGAGTGGCCACTTTGGCACTGGGAGCAGGTCTTTCCCTAATGGTGACAGGCTCTCTTCTACTGCAATAACAAATGTATCATTAGCCAAATCATACATTGAAAATAGAAACATAGAAAAAATAATAAAAACAGATATTTACATTTGTTTATTCATTGCATTCACTCTGCTTCCCCTTCTTCACCTTGTCCCACTCCCTTGCCCTCACTCTCCTATCCTTATTGTCTCTTCTTTCCCTTCCTTCATACTCCACCCTTCTCATCTCCTAACTCTCCTTCATCGTGTCCACAACAAGTTGAAAATTAATATATATTGTCATTTTTAGTTCAATAAAGTAAACGTAAGGGGCCAGGAGCTCAAAAATATTTATCAAAATATGAAATATGAATGAAAATAAGTTTGCAATTAGTACTGATGATAACAATAACACCTTCTAGCTAATGGAACTCATGGATAATGCAGTGATAAAGAGATGCAAGCACCTGTCCGATGCTTAAAGAAGAAAATTAATAGTAAGGAGGGTCCACAAAGTGAATATGTAGTGGTGCCTTCTAGAATTGCTGATTGCCACCAGGAGGGCAAAATTTCACACAAATAATAATGAGTAAGTATGTTATTTTGCTGTATTTTATTATATATCATATAAATACATTGCCCAATGGCAAAATTTCTTATGCCCACCATATTTTTTTTTTATGGTGGGGATGGAGGGATTTTCTGTTTCTTCTTTGTTTCTCATCTGATTTTGCTGTGGCTTCTATATCGTGCAGAATGCATACCCTTCACTAAGTATGTGAAGTTGGAAAGGAATTGGCCGACATGTAAATCAGCCACAGGTGGCAGAACTTGTGACTTTTCATTTATTTGGGGCAGAGTTATTCATAGATTTCAAACTCTATTTTCTTTATCTCTTTAGGTTGTTTTTGCTGAATGGGGACCAGATGAGGGCTTTATCACTCATATAAAGTATACAGTGGAACCTCGAGTGATGAGCAGCTCCAGTCACGAGCATTTAAAATAACGAGCAAGCCACTCACAGAAAATTTGTCTCGACTGACGAGCTTTCAGTCAATTAATGAGCGTTCCCGCTGGTTCTCGGAAATCTCCAACCTTTTACAAGTATGCATTGATGTAGCATAAAAATTACTGGAAAAAAGACTTTATATTTATTTAAGTAAGAAAAATTTATTGACATTGTGGATAACCTGTGGATATCTGTTTTTGTAGGTTGGCCCCCACAATAAACACAAAGACCACATCACATTTAAGGGGTTAGGAGTAAAAGCTTAGGATACAAGTGATCTCTCCATGTGCCTACTGTACACCTAGATAGGGATACAAGTGATCCCATCTTGTTCCTATTATTCAGCAAGTCAAGGAGGCAAAGCACCATACAATAGTGCTTAAATTCTTAACACAACCACTCAAAGTACGCACCTTTGCAATTCCTGAGTAGCTCTTGCCTCTTTAGCTTGCTCCATGGCTCTCTCAAGGGCTTCTTCCTCCAAGCGAGCACGTTCTCTTTCTGCTTCTTGTCTTGCTCTTTCTTTTTCAACCTGCTCCTTTTGCTGTCTTCTTTGCTCTTGCTGTTCAATAATCTGACGTTGCTGTTAAAAAAAAATGTTTTCACCATCATCTGCACCTATTTGATGTAAGCACACACACACACACACTTTCTGATAAAGAAAAAGATCTAGGGGTGGTTCTAGATAGAAAACTATCACCTGAGGACCACATAAAGAATATTGTGCGAGGAGCCTAAGCCACGCTTTCTAACTTCAGAATTGCTTTTAAATACATGGATGGCGATATACTAAAGAAATTGTTCACTACTTTTGTGAGGCCAAAGCTAGAGTATGCAGCGGTTGAGTGGTGCCCATATCTTAAGAAGCACATCAACAAACTGGAAAAGGTGCAAAGACATGCTACTAAGTGGCTCCCAGAACTGAAGGGCAAGAGCTACAAGGAGAGGTTAGAGGCATTAAATATGCCAAAACTAGAAGACAGAAGAAAAGAGGTGATATGATCACTACATACAAAATAGTAACAGGAATTGATAAAATCGATAGGGACGATTTCCTGAGACCTGGAACTTTAAGAACAAGAGGTCATAGATTTAAGCTGGCTAAACACAGATGCCGAAGAAATATAAGAAAATTCACTTTCGCAAACAGAGTGGTAGACGGCTGGAACAAGTTAGGTGAGAAGGTGGTGGAGGCCAAGACTGTCAGTAGTTTCAAAGCGTTATATGACAAAGAGTGCTGGGAAGACGGGACACCATGAGCGTAGCTCTCATCCTGTAACTACACTTAGGTAATTACACAAGGTTGCCGAGAAAATCCCAGGAGCACTGCCAGGACCAGAAGGCCAGAGCTGCACACGCAGGAGAGCAGGGTAGAGGCGAAGGAGGTGCCCCACACCCATGACACGGGGAAAACCTCGGCGTCCTCCCCATAGCTGCAATCCAGACCACCCCAGGAGCTACGGGGCACGGACCGGAGAATGGAGAAGAGCGAGAGGCGAAGCACCTGAGAAAAAAGGACGCAAAACACCAGCACTGGTGCACACCGCCCAGACCAAAACCAACTCCCACGGCACATGCGCAAGACACGATGTCCGAACCGCACAACCTGCTCGGCAGGAAGGCGCCAACTAGGACTACTTTACAAGAAAAGTAGCCATTTCACCTGAGTGAACCGCTAAATAGAAGAAACAGCTCATCTCATGAGACAGGAGCCAAAAGAGGAATGAGCAGCGACAACATAGCCAGCTTACGAAATGAAGACAAGGAACCTAATCGGGAACCCAACTGGGCTAAAAGTAGCCCAATCCGGTGTCCCAGACTAGGAGTATGTAAAGAAAACGAGCAGTGCCAAGACAGAGCGCAGAGAGAAAAGACAGCACAAAAGAACGAGACTGGATTGAAAACCAAGAATAAGCACAGAAGAGGACCAACAAGCCCTAGAAAGGACCGGAGGGAAGCAACACCGAAAGACGACAGACGTTCCAATAATACGGGAAGAAGCGAAAAACCTTCCCGAACCTTCGAGAACCTGTGAAACGGGGCAGCAAGCACAAGTCACGAAAGCACATAAAGGCACAGTCGTACCTGAAACCAAGTCATGTAGAACCCCAAGAAGAGGGGAACATGACGGAAAAATCCAGTTCCATGAAAAAGGGGAGGAATAACGGAGAAGAGCACTCACCAACAGGACGGAACCAGCTGACTCAAGGGACAAGGAACCAAGCCTGGGGAGAGGCCGATGCCCAACAACTCGTACAGAGAGGAGGGAGGAAAACCTCACTCCAAATAACCACAAGCCCCACTTAGAGGGTAGAAAAAACCCCGCAGGGTCCAACAGGGCCCTAGGCCCCCCCCCAAGTCAGCCCCTTCCCAGCCCCAGGAACCCACACAGCAAGCCCCGAGGCCGAGCCGTCCCCCCAAAGCCCCGGCCTCACAAGAAAAAACCGGGGCAGCTGCAAAAATACTAAGGGAGGGAGCCCACTGGCAGACTCTTACTAAGCGGCTGGAGGAACAGGCTCGAATGCCCCAATCGCTATCCCGGAAGGGGAATTCCCCGAGACCGCCCGAGTCTCAAAACCAACGAAGCCCAGCCCCGACCCCGAACCCACAGACGGTAAGGATCCAGATGCAGGCAGGAAGGGGGGACCAGACTAGACCACAACAGGGGAAAGACAAGGGGGCGTGGAAGGAACCGAAGCAACCAACACCCCCAAACCCCAACACCAACCAAAACGGGGCAGCCTCGAGGCTTCCAGGGAGCAAGCAACCGAGAGCGTTGCCACCATCGAAGCTCAACGTGCAGTGCCCGTGCTGCTTGCACCCACATAGTCAGCATAAGACTGGGTAACTAGCAAGCAACCGAGAGCGTTGCCACCATCGAAGCTCAACGTGCAGTGCCCGTGCTGCTTGCACCCACATAGTCAGCATAAGACTGGGTAACTGAGTCACAACAAGCAACAAAACTCGCAGGACTCCGGGCAAAAGATGTCACCGACCCCACAGGCAGCAGACGGAGGCAAAGACAGAGAGAGTCACCCCTGAGACGAGGGGTGAGAGCAACTCTCAAACTCGCTGGAAGCGAGGGGGGACTCTGGGGTCACATCTCTCAGACCTGCACGCCCCCAGGGGTTTCCCAGGGTCCAGAGCGTTTACTATAATAGGACTTGCAGTCAGGTAATCCCAGGCAGGGTACTGCTAACCGGCGCCCAAATCTACCAAACAACCTTCTAAGAACTGAACCCCTGGGACGTGTACACCAGTTCAACAATGAAAGGTTGATGAAGAACTAGAGGTCCAGCGAGTCCCATTTTGGGATCACAGTAAAGGAGCAACTATGCAGCGCTTAGGTGGGCAGTAAACCCACCAAAGCAATGCAGTTGTTTTAACCATTCCAGGAGCTACCCATTCTGAGATGACCCAACAGAGGTGAGGAGAGGACTGCATGGAAAAACCCAAACTACCAAAAGGGAAAGGGCTCAACCAACTCCACTGCAGGCTGCACGAAACAATCCAAAAGACTCACTAATCATGGGACCAGAAGTTGGCAAACTGGGCAAACCCACCCCCTCAATGCCTTGTCAATGGGGCAAACCGCAGAAGGGCCAACGCGAACCACGGGCAACCGATACTTTCCAAGCAGAGAAAGTACGGCACAGACCTGATGGAAGAAGGAAGGAAGTGCTTGCGACCACTGATGGTCTACCTTGATTCACAGAAGGCGACGCATCAGCCCTTCCCGACTGCCTCCAGGAACGAGAACTTCAAGAACAGAGAAGGTCTGTTGGCCAGAACAGGCCAACAGACCACAGCCACTGACAAGAACTGTGCCACCATATCCTCAGGAAAGAGAGGAGAAAAGGGGGAGGTTCTACCTCCAGTCCCTGGAAGGACTCTAAAACTCTACCGCTAATGTAGATGGTAATCATCTCGGCTTACAGTTTAAGGAAGTCACAAGGGGTTCCATCCGCAGAAAACTTGGTGTTCATAAATATAAATTTTCCAGTATTCACAATTTTTTTTCTTTCAACAGTGGCCTATATTATATAGCTTATTTCCACGTCTATTTCTTTAATTTAGTGATAAAAAAGTTTCAGAGAGACCATTGTGTCAACAATACATATTTTGATAGCAAAGGCTTATAACAACATCCAATCCTTCTCTTATTTTGACTCTTTTTTTTTTTTTTTTATAGTGCATTTTATTATAAAACTTTGCAATGAGCTGTCCTGCAGATATTAATTCACTTAAATACTGTAACACTAAACATGCTAATGGTTAACAATTACTTCAGATTTTACAATAACCCACTTTAAATGTCAATATTTTACACTTCAATAGTAATAATACTGAACACAATGAATGCTTACCCGAGCTTCCTTCTCCTTTGCAACTCTCTTGAACTGAGCAAATGAATCACTTGCAGAGGTCTTGAGAGAGGTTGAAGCAGTAGGAGATGGGACGGCACTTTGGGCTAGTGAGGACCAGGAGCTTAGGTTCTTAGGTGTTGGCTTAGGCTTGTTAAATGAGCTTCCACCTGATGACTTCGGAGTTTCAGGTGCTGAAGAAGGTGGTTTTTTGTCTTGTGCTTCTAAATAACTTGCAAGTGCTGATGCTTCTGCTGCACTTTCTCTTTGCAAAGCTGCTTGTGCATCTGCATGAAGTTGTTCTTCTGTTTGTTTATGCATCAAAGAAGGGTCACCTTGTGTTTGTGAAACTGACGGGTAGTAACCTAAACTGGTATCAAGACCCGCTGCTTTTAGATCAGCTAAACTTGTTTCTGGTAGGTGTGAAGGTATATCTTGTTGAGAATCGTGACCACTTGCCATCATCGAATTATGCGATGGTACCGCATTAGAGGATGCAGCCACAGACATAGCAGCGTTACTTGAAGAAACCGTATCTACGAGACTAGGTAACATTCCACCCGACACTGCACTACCTAAACCCTCTAATCCAGTTGGTCCTAAAGCAGATAACCCACCTAAACCAGCAATTGCACTTATTCCTGCCAAACTATTAACCAATGACTGAGCCATGCCTAATGGCATATCACCAGAAAACCCATTTGACACAGAAGGATGAGAGAGTCCAGCCACATTATGACCTATTGGTGCCCCTGAGAATGTGTGTTGCTGCTGATGATGAGAATGATGGTGCTGTTGTAGATGATGGTGTTGTTGAAGCTGTTCTAAATGCTCTTGTAGCTGAAGATGGTGTAGATGTTCTTCTGGTGTCTGTGGTATTGAATGTGATGGATGATGGGGTTGCTGCTCTTGATGATGATGATGATGATGATGATGAAGATGCTGTTGAAGTTGTTGCTGCTGCTGTTGATGCTGTTGTTGTTGTTGCTGCTGCTGCTGCTGTTGTTGCTGCTGCTGTTGTTGTTGTTGAGAGGGTGGTGGTGAAGGTTGTTGGTGATAGTGTTGATGTTGTTGCTGTTGTTGTTGTTCTTGCTGCAGTTGTTGCTGGTGCTCATCTTGTTGCTGTTGCAATTTTTGCTGTTCCTGTTTTTCCTTTTTTTGTTGTTCTAACTGTCGCTTTTGATGTTCTAGCTGCTGCTGTTCTAGCTGCTGCTTCTGTTGAAGCTGCTGCTGCTGTTTTTGTTTCTGTTTTTCTTGTTCTTGCTGCTGCTGCTGTTCTTGTTGCTTTTGTTGCTCATGCTGTTTCTGTTGTTCTTGCTGCTGTTTTTGTTGGTCCTGTTGTTTTTGCTGGTCTTGCTGCTGTTTTAGCTGCTCCTGCTGCTGTTTTAGCTGCTCCTGCTGCTGTTTTTGCTGGTCCTGCTGTTGTTTTTGCTGGTCCTGCTGCTGTTTTTGCTGGTCCTGCTGCTGTTTTTGCTGGTCCTGCTGTTGTTGCTGAAGCTGTTTGCTAGGCAGCTGTGACTGTGATTTTGGAACTCTGCTTCCTGTCAATATATTTTTTAATTCTGATTTTCCTACATCTTCTGTTTTTACATCTTCTGACACTGAAAAAAAAACAAAAAATTAACATTTAATTTAAAATGCTAATAATAACTGCAAAAGCCTCGGAAAGTTTTAGCTTCACATTATCAAAAATAAAAACCCTGAGGAACTGCTTTTCTAGCTGGCAGCCCAAAAGATAACAAAATATAGAAAGAAATCAAAGCCAGCTTGATATTTGCTACACCAAATTCTCATTCAAGAGCTTTCTTGGGTCAATAGGAAATATATTAATCTTGTGTTTCAAATAAATTTTCTGGATTATATTCAGTAAACTGATTTACACACTAACAGGTTGGTGATTAATGAGGCTGTCTCAGCAGTGACAGACAAATGCTTGAAAAATTATGAAGACAAACCAAACTAAATAAACCTATTTGAGCAATCTCACTTCTCAATCTCAAAAGCAGTATCAAAAGCAGGCATTGACTGCCAAGTGCATTGAATATACTGTACTCTTTAAGTACTATTATTTTTCATATTTTAATGTTTTTACATGTTATTTTCCAGTGCAATGATGCACTGGGCTGTAGTACTATTTACATCTCAGAATGTGTGGAACATCTGTATGTATAGATATGTACATGTCACTAATATTTGCATCTCATTATATTATTAGAATAATAAAACATACTAATTTTGCCCTTATCACACTTTATACACATGTTATTCAGAACCCTGGAGGGTGTGTTAATCTCGAAGCAATACAGCAATAACTGGTTACCTGTTCGGTACCTGTTGATGAGTTCAAGGACCAACCCAACGTCCCTGAAGCCTGGTCTCTGACCAGACCTCCTGATTGCTGGTCACCTTGTCTTTTTTGGTGTGGTTTTCAGCTGAATGTCAGCTAGTCGGGTTCCTCCTCCTTTCTGTGTCCCCACTGGTTCTGGTCGTCCTTCGGGCTTAGCATATTTACCTCGAGTTGGTTCTCGGAACAATGTTCCTGTGACCCAGTCTCTCATCAGGCCTCCTGGTTGTTGGTCTGGTCAACCAGTCTGTTGGACACAGTTGCTTGCAGTCTGACATGAATTGCAGCACAGTTGATAAGGTATCCTTTAGATGTGTTTATCAAGTTATTTCTTGAACACTGTGAGAAGTTGGTAGTTATGCCTCTTATATTTAGAGGGAGAGTGTTGAAAAGTCTTGGTCCCTTAATGTTCACAGACATGTCTCCTAGCTTTTCTACTTTTTAACTGGGCTATTTTGCATTTCTTATCACACCACCTGGTCTCATGAGGAATTATTTCTGAATGCAGATTTGAAACCAGTCCCTCTAATATTTCCCAAGAGTAAATTATTATGTACACTCTCTTGCCTGCACTCCAGAGAATACAGGTTTTAAGTGAACTCAATAATTTAAATATTTTATTTAATATATTCTTGTAAAAGGTTTTTGTTTTGGGATACAGTTCTTTCCACCTACTTTGTGTTTTCTGGTGTTGCTCGAGTCTGTAGCTGTCTGAAAAAGTTCTTACAAAGTGTTAATGCTAAACTTGGGTTGCTCTGGCACTCTGCTCATTTGGGTATTTGGTTTATTCTCTACACTTCACTTCGAATGTCTGGGTTGGTGCTTTATTTGTTGTGTCTGCATCCCTGGTTCCTTATACCTGGTTGATACCTGGTTGATGGGGTTCTGGGAGTTCTTCTACTCCCCAAGCCCGGCCCGAGGCCAGGCTTGACTTGTGAGAGTTTGGTCCACTAGGCTGTTGCTTGGAGCGGCCCGCAGGCCCACATACCCACCACAACACGGTTGGTCCGGCACTCCTTGGAGGAAACAATCTAGTTTCCTCTTGAAGATGTCCACGGTTGTTCCGGCAATATTTCTTATGCTCGCTGGGAGGGTGTTGAATAATACAAGATCCCAGTTTTTATTTCTGGCTCCTTGGGTGGTTTCATTCACCTTCCTGCTCTTTGCTGGCCACTGTTTCAATTTTGTCCACGTTCTTGCATTTTCTGGCTCTTCTGCTCCCCTACCAGTGTAGTCAGCCTCTGAATTGTTTTCTTCTCCATAGTGACATAGGTCTGGGAGGTAAAGGGCACCCTCCAGATATCCACTGTTGAATGTAATGAAACCACTCTTTCAAAGAGTCTTGTTTGGGCAGATGCCAACCAAGCATCAATAACCCACAGACCCCTCCGGAAGCTTGCCATCTCATTCTTCACCATAAAAGAAGGAGATGGCTGCAAATGAACAAAACATTCACCAGTACTGAATGAGCAGAAACCCCTACGCCAGAGGAGAGCACAAAGCTCACCAACCCAGCTCCCAGAGGCCAAAGCCAACAAAAATACAGTGGTGACTGTAATGAAACGCTATTTTCTTGGTGAGCCCTGGAGGCTTCCTGGAGCCATCAGGCTAATGTGTGATATATTAGACGGGGGCATCAGTCTAAGGAGTTCGATCTACCCGGGACCACGGGCCAGAACCTATCCCCCCTCCCTCCCCGGTAGAAAGGTTGTAGGGAGTAATGGTCCTGGAAAACCTCCCTGTGGTTTGAGGTTTTCCTTTTCCTGGGCTAAGCACCCAGAAAGGTAGCCATAACAAAGCAAACCCCACATGGTAGGCCAATTACAACTAAAAACCAAAAAGAGAGGAAGAACTCCCTCCAATCCCAGGGAAACAGACAAGCAAATGTCACACTTCATTGCCACGCTGCTTGTCCACGCAGCCCATCCCCTCCCCGAGAGGGAAAGGAAGCTAGACTGCCAGGGCAGGGCAGGCAGCCCTGGACCTCCCTGCGCCGGTACCCCAGCACTCCAGTTCAGAATCTAAGCATCAAACAACGCGAATAATCGCCGACCAGAGAGAGGGAGGGTTGCCAGAAAGCCTCCAGGGCTCACCCTGAAAATGGCATTTCATTACATTAAATGCTGGTTTTCTATGGGGAGCCCCTTTGGCTCCCTGGAGCTACATAACCAAAGATAAGCAAAAGAGGGGACTTACCTGGGAGGCAGCTGCCACAAACTCCTTAATACGAAGTTGAGACAACTGGCAGCAACCTGCGACCCAAAGATACACATGAACGCCCAGGAGCAGGAACGTTAACCAAATAACGGGTGGCCAGGACCCTGTTCCATCTCCAAAATCCCCTCGGCCGAATATCCGCTCAAGACTTGTCGCCAAACACGACAGTAAAAGTAACAAACTTCCTAACGTTATGGGCACGAGGATAAATTGCAGGCTGGCTAGACTTAATAACCCTGCAGACGACCTGGGAGACCCAAGTCCTGGAACAGGGACCGAGGGGAAACCGGATCAACCTAAAGTGCATCCCCAGCCACTGAAGCCGAAGCGCGCAGATAATGGCGGAGAGCCGCAACCCGACACAACACATAATGCACCCCCGGCCTGACCAACCAAGCATCAATGATCCAAGGACCCCCTCTGGAAAGCAGCTGTCTCATTCTTCCCCTGAAAAGGAGACAGCTGCAACCGAACAAACCTACCACCATGACCGAAAGAACAGAAACCCCCTGCGTCGGAGGAGAACATGCGCCTCCCCGACCTAGCCCCCCCCCCCACAAGCCAGTGCCAACAGAAACAGAGCCTTGGAAAAACAGTCTTGAACTAAAGGAGCCACCACAAACTGAGGAGAGGAAAGATAGGAGAGCTTGCTGTCCAAGGACCAGGACGGCTCAGGTGGCACATGAGAAGGCTGGAGGTGAAACAAAGCACAAGAAACCTTACATAACGGGGCAGAAGAGACATCCACCCCGAATGCAAGCTGGAGCAGCTTTGCCAGTGCCACACGATACGAGGTGACAGTATTAGGCATCAAATGACGGCCCTGAAAAAGCCAAGACAAGAAGGACAAGACAACCCAATCCAAAATAGAAGACAACTTAGGAAGGAAGAGAAAATGGCAGAAAGAAAGCCTGGAAACATCATACTGTCGCCAAGACAAAGCTCTCAGCTGGGACACCATCAACGAAACCACCTGATCACCATACAAATGGTGATAAACCCATGCCAAAAAGACCAGAGAAGACGGAACCAGCCGTGTACCGGACTGGTTCGACCTGCTGCAAGAGGCGGAGCCGCGGAAATGTCCCAGGTTCGCACACAGGGCAAGCAGCGCCTACAACCAAAGCGACCAAAGCCCCAAGTCCAGGTCCCTAAAACCAAAACAGGGCATCCCCGGGGCATTCGAGCAGGCAACCAACCTAACACATTGCAACAACCTAAAACTAACGTGCAATGCGACAGTTGCTTGACCCCTAAGATCTCCTAAAGAAGAATGAGTATAGTGGATTATGAGTGGGTAACAAGTCTCGCACGATTCCGGGTCAAAGGTGTCGTCAACCCAACAAGCAGCATAACGGAGGCAAAACCAATGATTGTCATCCTGAGACAAGGGCAACGAACAACCCTCAAACACGAGCAAAGCGAGATGGGACTCGTAAGACATATCCATGGTCACCCGAGTCCCGACGGGGGTTTCCAGGGCCCGCAGCGGAAAGTGTCCCTACAGGAAACCCAGGCACTGGTGCTGCAAAGCCGGTTGAACACTGTTTTTGAACTTACTGGGTGCCTAGGAAAGATAACCCTAAGCGCATGCAGCCCAAACTAAGTATTGATACTCCTGGCCAATGCCTCAGCACACAGCAGGCACACCACGGGGGTAAAATCCTGACAGGAAATCGAGACCAGAGTAGACGTCGACCCAAGCCGGCTTCAGTCGACGAATTGACGGTCTAGTGGCCAGGTAGGTGCCCTCTCTTGGGCTCGTTTTGGTCTTGAGTTGCAATGTTCTACCAGTTGGGATCTTTTTTGGGGCGTCTACCTTTCTGGGTGCCTAACCCCGGTCGACGGCAGACATAAATATACTCTCAGAGTGGAGTTTTCATAGGTCATTGCTGAGAATGGCATTGCCTCTCTGAGGGAACCCAGGTTCTAGCTCGTGGTTCCCGGTAGACATAAGAACTCAATATAACTGAAGCACCAGACTAATATAGATAACATCAGCCCGATAGCTCAAGGGAGACTCCGGGGCTCCCCACAGAAAATAAATTTTGAGAGATTTGAGCCAATATTCAGTTCTGATTTTCAGAATTAAAATTAGCAAAAATTTTTTTTTCAAATTCAGTCTAACAACTTTCCCATAGACATAATACCTTGTGCTTAAAATTGTCTACAAAATAATGTTGAAACCTGTTCTAATTAATAATTAAGGATAGGCAGTCCTGTATCTAATTTTCTGAATAATATGTCTGGCACCTTTGATGACCTATACTTTGCTGACCCTTCGGAAAATGTACATAATCAGCTGGAAACTGTATATTTAACATTTTGGTTTTTACAGCAATTCCAGTCAGTATCCAGGTTTTGTTCCTGACAAATCCAAATTTCATGAGGATGATTTGGTGGACAGATTTGGTTCATTGTTTAGAAGGATCTGTAATATCCGTAATGGGTAAAATGTTTAAAACCAAAGAGAATTCGGGCATCATTTATAAATATTGACAGGATATTGTCTGCCAAATTATCATCATTCCCTTACCTGTAGAAGAAATTTTACTTCCAGAAATTCCAAGAGTGACTTTCAAACTTTGTACGCGGCCTGTGGAGTCCTCCTTGGATGTCCCTTTGCCTATAAATGAAAGGTTATCTAATTTTACATACCCAGCACCACAACACAAGTACAATATTATTACTACATAATCTAATTGTTCATAGAAAACTGGCATACAGGTGGTTAAAGACAAAGAAGAAGGAAACAACTTACAGGTGAAGAAAAAACCTAAGAGTAATACAAAATTTGAGTTTGGTTCAAAATTCTGACTACAAATAGAATACTGATAAAAGATTTGTAACAAGTGAATTATTTTTAAACTAATAAATTAAAACATAATCTACAATATAACAACTTTATATGTTAATTAATCAATACAAAACCCAATCAATTGTACGCCCCTTATTCTACAATATATCTAAAGTTAACTACTACTGCATGTAGAAGATCTTCACTGTATGAGCACCAACACAGACTAGTCCTGGAGCGGGTAATCCAAAAAATCACAACCATAGTAAACTGATATGACTTTTCTCTTATATAATACTATGTGAGCTACGAATTAGGAATATATACAATATGTGAACTACGAATTAGGAATATATAGTATTTTTTGTTTGGATCACAGCCGATGAAGAGAGGTATGCCCAGCCCACCATATCTCAGTATACAGAGTGGTGGTGGTTCTTACCTCTCCAAGGTGTAATGAATACCGGGGGTGTCATGTTCGTAGGGCACGTAACGAAAACAGTACAAAAAAATATAATGTGATAAAGGGGTACGAAGAAGATGAAGTGGAGATGGTGTTGTGGTGATGGAAATAATGTGGTACTTACCTAACAGTGACTATGGGGGAGTGCAGTCTAGCTCTGTAAGTCCTGCCTAAAAGCCTTAATATACCTGATGTGTTATATTTTAACTTTCCTGATACTCGGGATTAACCTTATTTGGCCTCAAAGTTGTAGTGTAGATGGAGAAAGCTTTCATAACTACTTTTTTGAATGCATTCCACTTGAGCACAACAACAGGATACAAAAAACGTATATTCTTACATTTCTTACTCATTTCCATTTCAAGCTTTCATACGTGTCTGTGTGCTTTTCTCTCAGTTTAAAGAAGCTGTCTATCCCTCAGTATATGATATGTAGTGATCATATTCCCTCTGGTCCTTCTCTGCTATAAGGTTGTGAGATTCACATTCCTTAACTTGTCCTCATAGCTTAGTCTCGTTGCAAACCTCTACACTTTAACAAGTTTAGTTTTGAATTTCAAGAGGAGTGGATTCCATGCCGGTGCTATGTAAGCTAGTGTTGACTTCAAGACTAAAAAGATTGTCTTGAAAATGTCATTATTTAGGTTTTAAATGCTGTTCTAATGATCATCAGCTTCCCATATGCTGTTAATGTTATCCTGTTTATATGTGCCTTTGATGTTAGTGCTAGAATTACAATAAAGTTACAGTACAATATATCCACTCCCAAGTATTTTTTCTCTGATTCTTTTAGCTAGGCTGTGCTGACAGTATTTTGCCATGCTGACTCTTTGTTGCCAGGTGAGCCTGTTCTTCTTGTGCACTGCTTACGCCATTTCCTTTCCTTACATCATTTCCCTGCTTTTCTTCCCTAGGTTTCTTTACTTTCTCCCTATCCTCTTTATACATGCCCTGGCAACTATACAGTACAGTATATTGAACCCCTTAGGCAGCGATTATCATCTATTGACACTCCTTAGGGTAATGCAGTTATCATATGATGATTTAAACAATTATTGTCTGGGTTTTACATGTATGATGCAAATATGGATATAAGAGGTCTATGTGGATGTAATGGAGTTTACCTTGACCCATGAAAAAATTATGCTACTATTTCATCAATACGAATGTGGTTATCATCACAAATGGTACTAGGGGAATGCAGTCATCATACAACAATTAGTATTTTTTGAGTTTTACATGTATGATGAAAATTTGGCTATAATAACTGACTGTGGATGTAAATAAAGAAAAACAAATTATAAAATCATTGAAACCTCAGAGGATAAAACAGGAAGTACTGTAATTACATGTGTGTAGTTACAGGACGAGAGCTATGCTCGTGGTGTCCCGTCTTCTCAGCACTCTGTCATTTAATGATTTGAAAATGCTGATGGTTTTGGCTTTCACCACCTTCTCACTTAACTTGTTCCAACTGTCTACCACTCTGTTTGCAAAAGTGAATTTTCTTATATTTCTTTGGCATCTCTTGTTAAATTAGTTTAAATCTATGGCCTCTTGTTCTTGAAGTTCCAGGTCTCTGGAAATCTTCCCTATTTATTTTATCAATTCCTGTTACTATTTTGTATGTAGTGATCATATCGCCTCTTTTTCTTCTATCTACTAGTCTTGGCATATTTAATGACTCTAACCTCTCCTCGTAACTCTTGTCCTTCAGGTCTGGGAGCCACTTAGTGGCATGTCTTTGCACCTTTTCCAGTTTGTTAATGTGTTTCTTCTTAAGATATGGGCACCATACAACCGCTGCACATTCCAGCTTTTGTCTCACAAGTCATGAGAAATTTCTTTAGTATTTTGCCATCCATGTATTTAAGTGTCAGCAAAGTCGAGCTCCAGGCGTTGACAAGTGCCAGTCGCAGCCTTGCAGAGTGCCTTCACCCAGTGAAATTATAAATATTCAATTATTTCCTGTTTTTCTTCCATTTTGCATTCAAATTATTAATTCTATAATGATTTTTTCCTTCATTTTTTTGTGTATAGACAGGTATGATCATTTCTCCATAGCCTCAAGGGTTAATGGTATGTCCCTAAATTCCTTAATTTTATTTTTCTTCTGCAAGTATATATTTAATCAGAATGCTGTTCTTAAAAGCCTCACTTGTCAAACCCCATCCAATCTGGAACATCCCTAGCCAACAAGAACTGTGGTGTTAAATTTCCCTGGCTGCCCCACTACCCAAATTTTGGTGAGAACTTGTATAATCTCTTTCCAGTTTCCTTCTTCTCTTTTGTAATGTGTATTCCACTGGCTCTGGTAAAGTGAAGATCACTGATGCCTACTTCTCCATCTACTGCTTTGTGCATTTCATGACTTTTTTGGGTTCTTACATCCTTCAACACTACTGATTAAATTACTGAATATGCAGTCCTTATAAACTTCTAGCTGCTTCTACAAATGCTTTAAGTTGTACTTCACTGCTCAATCATATTCTCTACCTGTTAGATTTTCTCCTTTCCCTCCCCCCCCTTACTTTCCCCATCTCTTCCATTGCCTATAATCTGTCCTGTAGTCCATGGATGTTTTCTCTTTTGCAATGTTCTTTTTTCTCAATCCCTTTACTGTACTTTATTAAAATTTGCTAAATAGAATTCACTCGTCAGGTTGAGTTTCACTTTCAAGTCCTTGATGACCTTCTCCAGTCTATTTAACTATGAATGTTTGCGACCTGACATGCGCATATACAGTATTCTATGTACTGTACTGTACTGCACATATTATGTAATCTCTCTCTCTTGATCTTAATTCCAGAAAGCACATACTGAGTACTTTGTGATGGTCCCAGTAACTTGAGGTATTTTGTTGTCTAAACACATCCAATATATATACTCTCTGTATTACTTCTATTTCAGATCTCACTCACTCCAGTTTTGAAAAAGGAAGTGAATATGAAACAGTATTTTAGGCTTGATCCCAAACGTGATAAAGAAGGGAAGCACTGTGATTGCATCCCTCGATTTGAAGATTCTCATAATCCAATCATTTTTCTGGCTGATGCTGAGGTTTACTTTATTATGCTCATGAAAAGTTAGATTCATATATCTCTTCCTCTAGCATATTCTATTCTTCTCAGACATGTCCTACTCTTTCTTCATAATAACTTGGTTTTTTACCTGTCATTTCCATTGTATGAGATCTGATCGCGTCTTTGCTTCCTGTAACCAGTTCAAATTCTTTATTTTTCCATATCCAGAGGTTGAAAATGATCATTAATGAAAATCATGTTATATATCCATTGCAAAGTGGAAGATTTCAGTGGTATCTATTTGTTTTCAGTGCCTTTTACTGAAGAAATTTTCATGCTGATTTGGTATCATCTGCAAATATGATCCAAGTTGTGATCTGCATTTTTTGTTTTATGTTTGATAAAAGGATGATTAGTGCAAGGACAGTTCATTGCACTACATAGATTTTGTGTGCTTGGACTGGATTTTGTTTGGGTAACTACTACTCTTTGTGACCTCTTGGTAAGAAAATTTAATATCAATCATCCCACTCAGCCTGTTATTCCGTTAGTGGTTATTGCATGGGCCATTACTTCAGGCACATTTAATAAATGCCTTTGCAAAATAACATGTACATTCTAGTATATTTGTAATTCTAATGTGATTTTACAAATTTAGTTAATTGCAAAAGGCAGGCTCTTCTTGCTCTAAATCAGTGTTGACCTGGGTTGTGAGGTTCTTTCCTATCTATAACTGGAAAAAATGACTCATCATCATCATTTCAGACTTGTTGTCTTTCCGGCTTAGCTGTTCCATGTGTTAATACCATGGACTTCTTCCCAACTCTGATATAAGTACAAGAGGATAGCCTAGCATGCACATATAGTGTGCCCCCATATCGCCCAACCCCAAAAGTGATATATATTGACCGGTAAGTAGTGAGTTGCTCCCAACTCTTATGCTGCTCCTGTCTCAAAGGTAAGGCTACTCAGGGAATGGGGCTCTCAAACTTCTTTCCAAGTGTTAGTAATAGTGGTAATAGTAATGAAAGTGGTGATGGTAATTGTGAAGAAAGCAGTGATGACAACTATAGTGGTGTTAATGGTGACGATGGAAGGATTGATAATGGCTAAATGGGGTTGAAGGGTGACAGATAGGCAGACTTATCAATACTTGTGTTTACTGAATAAGGGGTTAAGCTAGATGGAGTAGATGCATTATGTATATGGTATGATATAATTTAAAATTATTATCAATCTGGACATGAGGGCGAAAAATTAATGTTTAATTATTCAAAACTTATAAGTAAAAAAACAATAAAATTTGAGGCAAATTTTAACCACTAGATTATACCATGAAAACT